AAAGCTTCCAAACTTTCATAATTATTTAATGCAAACTGGCTGTGGTAAAACTAAGTGAATCATACTTATATTATCAAACATCCTTTGTAAACTTGATAGCTTTCTACAACAAACATAATTCATTTGATGTTGTCGTTAATGATTTTTTTTAATGAAGTTTATCTAAGCTTATATATTAACACACTGCAACATTTACATTTAGGTAAATGTGAGATTTGTGTTTTCATTTCAATTTTAGTAATTTTTATTGATGCAGGAAAAATACTATGTCAACTAAAAGAAACTATTTAAGTTTCTCTATCTTACGTTACATTAGCCAGAAGTTCAAAAGAATTTAGAACTACTGTACATCAGTAAAATGAATGAATTATAGGTATCTTTGCACGCTTACATGGACGTAAGTTTAATGGTTCAAACCATCCAAAGAAAATTTTTCCAGCTATTTACGATGGAGGACACGAGAATTAATTAAAATTTAAAATGGGTTCTGAAGGAGACATGTTCATATTACGACATCGTAACTAACTCGTTACCGAGGGAGTGTGGAAAAAGATGGTTTGAAGGTAGCACACGTTCACTTGTCACCTTATGTACGTGATTATGATTACTCTCTGCACCTTTTATTTGAAATAAGAAATAAAAAAACTGAAATTTACGTGTCATCAAAAAAGATGTCTTCTAGGTGAAGTCTTATGAACAATTATATCGAATTCAAACGGAATCTTGGAGTTAAAAGGGATGTCGTAAAGTTATTCAAAATAAGGAAATGTGTCGATAAAAGTGACAAATTACACGAAAAGTTGTGTTGCCTGGTACTTTGTGTTATATCTTATTTATGTGCTTTTTACGTCCCGAACGAACGTTACAGTCATTTTGACGAATGTTCGTCATGTTTTCGAGTGTATCTGAGTAGAGAATAGGAAAATGTTCGTCCGCTTGTTTAAAATTTATTGGATTCGACTCATACAACTAAAAATGATTAAAAGTAGGTAAAATATTAAAGTACTTTATGAATGTTCATAAGATTTTTCTGATCCTCCTTGATATCAAGGATTAAAGTTACACGGTTCCTTGAACAGCGTGCACTAAAATTGTTATCAACTGTACAGAGAGGTCCATTTTAGAGATGCAGTATATAACTTTTTGTTAATAGAACACCGTATACATTTTTGCATATTCTTATTGATTGGCCTTTTTTAGGCTTTACAACTATATTTTATTTTTAAAATTCCGAGGTAAGGTTGTCACGTTATTTCAGTTTTCTAAAGTTGGTAAATTCAACGATTTCTACTTTTTTAAAAACACCAACATATCAAAAGAAAGAGACTCATCTCAAGGAAGTTGGAATAATGGGGCAACGTCATATAAGAATTTAAAAAAAAGATATCTACCTATAATGTCGAAGAAGAGGCCAATCGGAGTATGTAAAAATATAGGGCATTCCATAAAAAAATGTTGTTTTCACTTAAAAAACAGAAGATTCTGCATAGTTGAAAATAATTTTAGTATATGTTGCTTCGATAACCGCACAACTTTGGTCTTTGGCTTTGTTTCTGTGTCTAATAATTAATGAGATCGAGTAGCGCGCTTAGTGATTCACCCTGTATATTGATCGCATAATGTAGTCAGTTACTCTTTAAATCTGAGATATATCGAAAAGATTTCTATAAACATTTTTCAATTCAAGATTTCAAAAGATCTTTTTGCGATAAATATATATGTTTTAAATTCATGGAGTGATGGCAAACAAATATCAGTAACGTAAGAAGTAGCATTTGAAAATATTTCTTACCGGGAATTTATTTGTTCCACGTACTTCACCTAGTCACTTTAGAGAATTGCGTCTAACAAACAAAAGATGTTTCACGTAAATAACGTAAAAGAACCTTGAACCATTTTCGTATTACTTGGAATTCCTACAATGCTGATGAAAAGGCAATTTGTTGATCAAGAAAACGATGTAACTGCTTTAGTAGGAAGTTAATAATACCTGCAACACCTTTGCCTTTCCTTTGTCGTAATAAGGTTCATTTTATTGAAAGCAATTTAAAAATGTGTTCCTTACTAAAAATCGACAAAGAAAGGTGGGGCAACTTTAAAAAATTAACGTTGAGTTGGGTTTGTATACACAAAAATGCTGGCTTTGTTGACATTTTGAGATTGTGCTCCAAGAACTGAACTGAGAAAGGAGCCTTTTATAATATTCATTTGATAATAAATTTTTAATATCATAGTTTAAAACTAAACATAAGACTTGCGTATTGAATGAATAGACAGATTTATATCATATTTTATTTTAGACCTTAATTTTTGTGAGACATCTTGTGTAATAGTAGCAATAAAAGCATATTACCGAAATACCAACAGCATTACATGTCGCTAATTAATTAATATATACAGGTTGCTAAAAAGTGTGGATACAACAAAATATTTCCAGAAGGGTTTATCAGAACTCCTTGAAATTTGGGACACAAGTTAAAGTATTTGAACTCTATCCTCTAAAATATTATTCAAATTTCCATCAGCATTTGTTTTAGAGATACAAGGTCAACTTATTATTATTATTTTTTTTTTAATAGCACTAAGGGTAAGATTTAATATTTTTTTAAGAAACATTTTTTTCTGCATTCAGGAATGTAACACATCTTTCTTTATTTGTATTTAAATGTAAAAAAAAATTACATTTGCATTTTTTTTTATTGTTTCAGTTAAATGTGTTGTTTTTCCAATTATTATTAACTTTTATGCATTTGTTTTATCAACGCACTGGTGGTAAAAAACTAATGATCGATAAGTCGATTATTGTACCTAAATAAATTATTGTTATGAAAGTTGTTTAATTTTTTTAATGCTAATTGTTTTTGTTTTTGATATTCTTGAAGAATTAGCATTATTCCACTCAAAGCAGTAGAGGTATTTTTTGAGAAGTTTTAGGAAAACTGGTAATTAGGTTTTTTTCCGAAATACAGAGAGGGAGACGAATGAGGAAATTGCTCTCATATTGCTTTGAAGATACGTAAAATTGTGTGGGCAAAGCTTATTATATAGGTCAGCGGGTTGACGTGTTAATAAGAGTATTTAGATGCAGATTAAGTAAATCTCATTTTGCGACAAGGAGAATTTCCCAGCTAAAGGGGATGTTTTTTTCATATTACAATTTCAAATTAAAATTGTTGGGAGAGGTCTGGAACGCATGCATCATTTTTTTATCTTTTTATTTAACGGTGATGTGTAATATTAAATATTATTTAAGTAATAATATCTTATTATAACTGTATCATTATTATTTTCATTTTTGACCCTACAAAAATAATAATAATTAATACATAAGTATGTGGATCATGTTCTGTACTTTTGTGACACTGTTCGAGAAAAAGTATTTTCGTAGTGTGTTTCGTTTGTCAAAATATTGTTTCATAGTTTGTGTTTTTAAGGAAAAGATTTGATCTAAAGAGTTTAAACAGTACTTCCCTGGCTACCATGCGCTGGTGTTTTTTCATAATAATTTGCGAGGAAATTGAAATTATTTTTGAAGTTTATACTTAATATACCTAACACTAATCGAAATGTTGGTGTTTTCTAAACTTATATCTCCAAAACGCTTATTTATTCAATGCGATGGCGATCCTTTTTAGTATCGTAAAATAACAGTTATTATTTATTTTGATGTTGACTGTTTTGTCTATTTTAATTGTAAATTTCAATTCTTTTTATTTGAGACGACGTCATCAAATTTTGTGAGAATGAATTGACATTGACAATTTTCTTCTTGTTTCTTTATTTCTGTTATTCTTAGAGTGCACCCAAAATTTCAAAGCAATTACTGTAGTCGTTTCTCAGATTATCTCTCTAACAAAAAATGCCAACAAAGAATGAAATAACACCTTCTATTTCTTATTTTTATTATAACATAATCATTATGTTACCAAGTCAAACTAAAAGGCATAGGTACTTATGCAAATAATACTCAAGGCTACAATTTAATCCGAAAGATATTGAAAATGTATGTAACATTATGTAGTTAATCATGAATTGGCAACCTGTTTGTCATTTCATTTCGCTTAGGTTTAAAATAAAATCCCGATAAATGTAAAGTACTTTGTTTTGCCACCAAAAAATATCTGTAGATAGTACCTATACACTATTATACATATATACATCGGGAATTTGGGTTTGACGATTGATGATGCAACAAATAACTTTACTTTGGTGAAAAATGTGTTAAAATTTATTGGTTGTTAAAAATAAACACGCAATCAGATTTATGAATTTAAGTCGTTCCATGGAAATTTGCAATTTAACACCCTTTAACAAGCCTTTTATTAATTATGTCATAATTTATTGCCATTGTATTAAATATCAAAACACCGAAAAAAATTTGTGAAAGCCTAAATTTATCAGTACTAAATTATTCCATTATCAGTTAAGTACCGTTCAACAAATCTAGCCTCTTCGAAAAATTATAAAATTTGATCGTGCGAAGCTTTATTTATGCTATGCTAACCCCTATCGATTAAAGAAAAATAGTTACCTACCAATCAGTAAAATGTTGTTATATAATTTGAATGCCTAAAATAAAAACTCAAGAAGGATTCATAAACCCCAAGTAGAGGAGTATGTTATTTAATAAAATTTAAATGGCGTTTACTAAGCCAAATTTTGAGGTGATTATTGGTGGAGATGATTAGACACATTGTGATTAGCATTATACCATCTACCCAATATTCCTACCTAACATACAAGTAAAATTTGACAACAGTTGGTCCGGTAGTTTCGAATCTATTTAATAAAAATCGACGCAGATACGCGGCAGACGAACAGGCAGAAACGGAAGACCTACTTTAAAAAAAGTAAACAAAGCAATATTGATAATTGTGCTTTAAAGGCGAGGGAAGTTGTCACAGTTCCGCATAGACAATCTAATTCACTTTTTGAATCAAGTTGCAAAAATATATTTTAACCAAAAAACAACTCTCCTTAATGAACGAATTTCTTTATAGGAGATGAAGGCTACGTGGTGGAGAGCGACCCCCGCGGCCACGTGCTGCAACAGCAGTGGGTCACACTGACGGCAAGCATGTGGCCTGAGCCGACCGCCTCTTCTAGAGGCTGGAGAATTTCAGCAGAACGTCTTCCCGTTTTGGCCGCGGTTTTTTGTGGAGCTGCATTAGTTGTCTGTTTTCTGTGCGCATTCCTTCTGTATCGCTATTGCATCATGCCGCGTCGGGATAAACATTACTGTAAGTAATTGGGAAATTAAAAGTTAAATATCCGATCGAACGTTATTTCCGGAAAACTGCGAAAGCAGTAATAACTGGAAATCTGCTAATTTCCCCTTTCTGTTTATTGCAGGTCTTCGTAAAGTGGATGGGAGTTCGAGTGGTACCCAAGTGCCTCCTGTAGTATCACCAGCGTATCCTAGTCAAACTGCCGTTTATGCCGAGCAGAAGAACTGTGGATGGGGTTACAGTAATAGGCTTGTGCCACCTCTTCCGGGAAATCCATGGTACACCAATAGAATGATAGGAGGACCCCAGTGTACTCAATGTCCTGGAGTTTGTCCGGTGCCGAGGAGCAGCAGCCATCCAGGATCGTCGTCACAAGTAAGTTTTTAATCGAACATTTAGGAACTTTACTCGTGAACGAACCCTCATAAAGTCATTATCTACATGTACATACAGTCATACACACATGCATGCGCGTTCATTTATGGTTCATTAAGTGAACATAAGGTATAAGATCAATATTTAGATCTTAAAGACCTGAGTAGAATGGTTTTAAATTAAAAAAAAAAACGTCACGAGAAATAATCGTATAGGTAATGTACTATACACCTACAATATAATATTTACAGGTACATATCTATAGATTTATTACTCTCTAATAGTAGTGTTATCCATTATCACGTTGTGATGTATGATACAGTGGTTAGAGCGAAACAACATGTCTAAAGAAAGAAATTGGCCTCGTGTCATTAAACAGAACCTCCCTCGTCTCTGAAGTGCATACATTCAAACAAATCTTTTTTTTTTTAAGATGATATAATACCAATCACAGTGCAAGAAAAAAAGTAGCCCATAAGAGTATAGAACCCGCGACCTTCGCATTATTTGCACAAGAAAATAAAGTTTTTTCATTACAAAATTTTATGATGACATCATTAATATCTTAGCAAGGGCACATACATACATGCATTGATTTGATCAATAAAATAAATTGCCTTATTCGTTATTTTTTTGTGTCACCTTATATAACCAATTTAAAAAATATGAATGCATTGAGAAACCACAAATATAAACTTATAATGTTTTGCATACTTCGATAGGATTTATTTGGCAAAATTTGGAGATGACGTAATCAATTTTTTGAGAGGGGAAAAAGGGATACATTTTGATTATCGATTTACCATACTCACGATAACCTTAAAATGTTTGCAAAATTTCAGGTTAAACTGTAAAATATTGATATACAATAAAATCAAGACGGATTCATAAACCGTAAGTGTTATTTTATAAAATGTAAGTAACAGTTATTTTGGTTAATGGAATTAATATCAAAGTACTTACCTATTTTAATAGAGAGATTCTTACATGGTTTAGTTTTTATTATGTATTATTATAACTAAGAGCTAAATTATTACTGAAAATTACAGGCACAAGCCAACACAACGAGAAGACAGCGGCCTGTAAGTCAACCAGTCCAACTGGGTCCTTCTGTCGTTACAAACGGCGAGATCGTACCAAAATCACCGATGCCTGAAATTTCAGAATTCTCACCACAGAATATGCAGTACGCTTCTAGCAGTAGTAAGTTTTAGATTTTTAATTTTAAAAGAGTTAAGAGGAGCAAGTGTAACTTTTACTTACCGAACGAAAGCGAGGCGCGCAATAGACGGAAAGTATTTTTGTTTAAATACAGTTGTACTTTTGACAGTGTATTTAAAGGATGCGTGTTTTTCGATGAAAAAAAAAATATAGATGTATATACAGATAGTCAATTGATTGCAAGCGCATGTTACACTTGTAAAATATATGCAGGACGTTTATCGTTAAAAGTTTACAGTTTGTGATAAGGAAATCCAAAATTTAAATTTCTTGGCCCTGTTATGTGATTCTACTGTATGAAAATGATTACTAACTACTTGCATTTCAAACTCTAAGAGTTTTAGAATCGCCCGCATTACTCTGAAATAAAAAATAAATAAACCCAGTGGAGTAAAAGAACAAAATAAAATATGTTGAAAACGTGATAGCAAAAATCGACCTTATTATGTGTTTTAAAATAATATAAATAATAAAAATAAAATATATGAGTTGAAAGATTACAGTCTTAAAATAAATGTAGCCAATATAATAATAATTCACATTTATTTAATTGATGAAATTCAGTTCTAGATGAAGTGGGAAGCAAAGATGAGCAAAACTCTGAAGAACCCACGTTAAAAACTCGAAGTTTACCAGCATGGGTTAGGTCTAAGCCCAGACCATTATCAACAGAAGACGACTTAAATGATTTATATGCTAAGGTGTGTATATTTATGATTAGTAATTTTATATCTTGGTTTATACAAACAATTCAGACATACTTAACACGCACAATTTAAAGGATTTGTGTCCTGACCATGTTATATTATTACTTGCCAAGTTATTGTAATATTAATATTTTTTCTAGGTTAACTTTAGCAAAAAACGGAAAAATCGAATGCGCAACGATGAAGCTGCGATAATAGCCCTAAGTAAATCGAGAAGTCAATTCCTTCACAAGGACACGGACTCTCTTGTCGACAACGAGGCTGTTATAGTCTACGACGAACGCACAGCTTTGTAAAAAATTTTTGATATCAAAATTATATATTTTGGACATATTTTTACAATGTTAGTCAGAACCTTGATAGTTATGAACATATCGTTGTTGCAAATGAAGACTATGTCAACTGACAAATAATTTCTAGATCTAAGATTTGAGGATTTAAAGTATTTTTCTGTGATAAATTTTAAAATGTGTAGGGTTTTCGTCTTATTAAATTAATTATTATAAATGTAATCCTTTTAAGACTGGTCCTATTGCAATTCTATGAATGTGTAGATAGAATGTAATGTGCTGTTTTTAATACTAAATTGTATTAGACCATCCAGCACAAATATTTATTGTACTAATAGATACTGCATACAGGGCACGTAATACGTGATTAGCAGTGGCGATTCGTTTATCTGTGTTAGACGCCAAAGACATTAAACTTAGTTAGAATCTGTTATGGGAAGATTAATTTTGTACTATAATATTTAAATAATTATTTTGTTGTGTATTGAAGTTTAGAATAAAGAACACTACCTACTTTTGACTGGTTTTATTGCAAATGTTTTAGGTGTTGCAGTTGTAAAAAGTAAAGACAGTAAATTCACTCACATCAACAAAAACATCTTTTTTGATAGAAAGTTAACACAACCTTGCTATTATAGTAAAACCATTTTTGATTTTATACATAGTCATACTCTGGTTTATATCTGAAGTTGTTCCAACTCCTTCAGCAAATCAGATTCTCCTTTAATTTTTGCAATCTGATTGATTTCCAAAGTTTTTCCCTGCGCCTGTTGCTCCTTCAGTTTTTCAATAGCATCTAATTTCTGTTTAAAAATGTACATTTTTTATCATTTATGAAAAAATACAATAGCTTACCTTCTTGATATTTTTCAACTTCTTATCTTTTTCTGGGTCTCCAGTTAATGCAATTTGTACAGAACTAACAACCGCAGGAGCAGAAGCTTCCTTATTATCTTCACCCTCAAGTTTCTTCGCTTTTTTTGCATCACGCTTCTTTTTTTGTTTAATTGATGCTTTACTCTGAGAATCAGAGCCTATAAAAATGCTAGTAAAAATACTTCATTATTTATGTGTAATTTAGAAGTACCTGGTTTGTGTGCTTGCTCTTCATCATCATCCAAACTAAAACGAATTGCTGGACGATTCCTAGCAGAAGGAGGCCTGTAAGCTTGTTTGGACGCTACTGGCTGACTTGAAGCTATTCCTTCAATTTTTTCTGAACTAATAGCAGGTTCTTTGAAAGTATGACGTGGATAGTTCTAAATATACATACAAAAAAATAATAGTAAGCAAAACGTGTTTATCTTTTATCTAAATACAACCTTCCAACACACTTCATAAAGTTCTTCTTGTGCATCCATCTGTTTTTCATGCAACAAAGCTCCAGAATAATGCCAAATTTTATAACCATTCCCAATTCTTAGTCTTGGTGCTGTTGTTGCTGTTAAAAAGTGGATCCCATCAGGGGCCCACTCCAAAAGTGTTGAATCTGCAGCTTCACAACTACCTGAAACATTAAGTTCCATACTGTACGAGAAAATTTGTTTGATCTATGTTACCTATTAATTTTCTGTTAGTGGTGTCCCATATTTCAACATGTCCACGCAAATTTCCAAAACCTCCAAGCAACACCAGGTTACCTTGTGGGTTGTAATAAATAGAATTTCGAGAGCCAGTCCCAAATTCAAAAACTGGTTCACATTTCAAATTAAAAACTGTTGCTCTTGCTGGAACAAATCCATAAATGACGCAAAACTCATGGTTTTTGGGAGACCAAGCAACGCTGTAAATTGGTCCTTCTTTACTCATAGTAACCATTGCAGTTTGTCCATTTAGACTCATAAAGTGTAGACCTTGTTTACCATAATATGATCCACCAGTTTTATCTACTTCGGTTGAAGTAAGTAGAAGAACATTATTTCCTTTTAAATTCCAGTAAAATTCTACTTTGTCTGCTTGGAAAAAACTCTTGCTTGCTATTGATTGTTGACTATCAAAGCTCGGGTATTTGAATAATCTAAAAATTGATGTTTAATTAAAGAAATTCTAGACAATAGTTCTTACTTTCCAAAAGATGGTTGACCTGATTGTCCAGGTACATAGCAGAGAGTAAAATAAGTTCCCACATTTGGTGATAAACTGTATGCAGCTATTTTATAGCAATTTATTCTAGCTACAATTTTGTCAAAGTTCAAGTTTTCATAGAAGACAACATCTGTGTTTACAATTCTACTGAACAATTTCTCATCAGAGCTCCACTGAGGCTCCCTATTATTAAATAAAGTATAAACACTTGCAATTAAGAAATACTTTCAAATAATTACCAATTTCCCTGTTTCTTCTGAACAAAGCTTTTTACAAGTTCTCCATTTTCACTTTTATAGATATTTAAGTTTGGTTTGCCTTGTGGATCTTCCTTGGTTGTATAAAACTGTTCCCAACTCATTAAAAAAGTACTTTTGGGGGAGAACGCCAAATGATGAGCTTTAACGCCTTCAATTACTGCTACATCTTCCCAACTATCTGTATGTACTATTTTAAGTCTGTAATGAAATTTATGAAGTAAAAGGAATAAACAGACTACTTGCTTACACTGGACCATTTACATAGGCAAAATAGGATCCATCTGGGCTGAACAACATAGTTCTACATGTTCTACCTTGAACAGTGCCATATTTTTCAAGATCCTGTAACTGAGGTGGACCAACTCTTAACACAATACCGTTGGAACTGCGAACTAAATAACCTCTTATTTATTTTGTTATAATTAATTCAATATATAAACCTACCCGCAAAAGGACTTCCTGAAGTCATTTCAGAGATGTAAGGTTATGCTCAGCACGTGTTAAGAATCATTACACAGACATATGAAAATATCATGAGGAACACCAAAACAATTCTACAGATACATCCATTATTTATTTCTTGCTTATTACAACTTCTGCTGAATTTTAATTGAAAGAAATATGATTTAACTTCTACTGTCAAAATTGCATGACGTTACATGACGTCAATGACATTTTTGCCTACTTACAGAATGACCTACTGACTTTTCTCCACCTCTTCTCATTCACTGAAATCTAGGCTATATCTATATACAATAGGTTGTAGGCAATGGGCTACTGCGTACAGCAGTATAGATTGGTGGAATCCAGAGATATGTAAAAGACAGATGCGGTTATAGCTTTCCCGATCTAGGGCCAACATCTATGATCTAAGAGTAGCAATACTTTGTGTCGCCTATCCTTTTCTACATCAGCACCAGTACTATGGATTGCCAAGTGTAGGCTACATCCATCACTCTCTAAAAGGTGGTTGTCTTGTTATTGGCCCGTTCTGGTGGCGGCAATTATAAATAATTATAACCACCCACAGTCTGATTGGTCTGACAGGGACCGGCACAAACACAAGAACGGCATCAACGACAAACGTTGCGCCAACTGATTGGTTGCGCCGTACAGAGCGAGACCTTCAGATATCGGGTTACCATTGTACGTGCTAGAGAAAAAGAGGGAGATATAAACGTACACTGACATCTTGGGCCTAAACGCATGTCCACGAGAACATTAAATATCTGTATCTAGTCTTTTACATATCTCTGGTGGAATCACACATGAATCACAAAACCTACGACACTTTACAAGAGTGAAGAGTACTGCGTAACAAAACGTAACGTTATCCGTTAACGTAAGTTACTTGTTGCCTACTGAGTACTGCTAATCTACTAATTAACCCCACCCCCCTCCAACACAATCGGATCTTGTTTGACGTCATTTGATAGATTGACAGTAGTTTCCATGCTTTTATGCTTTTTTTTTCATTTGCCACTTGATATTTGACAATCTTGACATTGACCTGTGACATTTGAATATATTTTGGTCGGATTGGTGCTGGTTTTTGAAGATTTTTACGAATACTTACCTATCACTTCAGCTATTAATAGAACTGTAAGACTGATAATTTCATTTGTTGTCAGAATAGCATTATTCTATCTGTTTACGAAAACGATCGTTAAACATTTGCAATATATCCTAAAGATGGGTGCTTTGACTGAAATATCTTCCAACAAAATTTTTGGTGGTTTTCAAAAAGTATTTTCACACGAATCAAAACATTTGGGTTGTGTCAGTAAATTTGGTGTTTACCTTCCACCTCAAGCAGAACAGAAAAAATTACCAGTGATCTACTGGCTGTCGGGTTTAACTTGTTCAGAAGCTAATTTTATTGAAAAATCCGGGGCACAGAAGTATGCAGCTGAACATGGTGTAATTATTGTAAATCCAGATACATCTCCACGAAATCTTAATATTGCTGGGGACTCTGAATCATGGGATTTTGGAGTGGGAGCTGGGTTCTACGTGGATGCAACACAGGATCCATGGAAAAAAAATTACAAAATGTACAGTTATGTTACCTCTGAGTTGATACAAATCATTGGTGAAAACTTCCCAATACTTGAGGGCAAGCAATCAATTATGGGCCATAGGTACTGCTGTATGTGGAATAAATTGGCAAAGCGAATTTAATTGTAAATTTTTTCAGTATGGGAGGACATGGTGCTTTGATATGTGCTTTAAAAAATCCTGGTTTATATAAGTCTGTGTCTGCATTTGCGCCTATTTGCAATCCATCTGAATGTCCATGGGGTATTAAAGCATTTACTGGGTATTTAGGACCAAAAGAATCTGGTGGTTGGGCACAATGGGATGCTACTGAACTAGTAAAAAACTACAATGGACCTCCAATTGAACTTCTGATTGATCAGGTTAGTTAAAAATTTAAAAGGAAGCTATAGCAATGAAAATTCATTTTCAGGGTTCAGAAGACAACTTTTTAAATGCAAAGCAACTTTTGCCTGAAAATTTGGTTGAAGCTTGTAAACTGAATCATGTACCAGTAATTTTTCACAAACGAGAAGGCTATAATCATAGCTACTATTATATTTCCACTTTTATTGGCGAACACGTAAAACACCATATGGAATTTTTGCAGAAGTAAAGAAGCGCCATCTACTCGGGAATGTTTTCTTTTTGTTAAATATTAAAATACTGAACTTTTAATAAATAATTATTAAATCCTTATATACATTTTGATAAAAATATTCACATCTAATTATTCATTTTATTGATCCTCTAAATTCATGCCAATACTCTAATATTGGTTCTCTCTTAGCCCATATATGCTGGTTACCCCACAGTGCCCAGATACTGAAATAAATTTATTAAATTCACTACAAAAAAATTAGTAATTATAATTACATTCCACACGCTGCACCTCCTAAATGTGCAGCATGATCAAAGAATTTCCATCCCATTAATACTCCAGCTGTATCTATACCAACAATGACTTTAATTGCCTATAAAAAACAAAACTTTAACTATTCACTATCAGAATACTATAACACAACTTACTGCTCCTGCGCTAAATGTAAATAAAGGTACCAGAATAATGCCTAGTCTGGTGTCAGGATATTGAGTACAAACATATCCCAAAATAGCCATAATAGCACCAGACTAAAAACAAAGAAAAGAAAAAAATTACCATATTAAAAAGATACTTACTGCTCCCAAAGAGAGCCCTGGTTGTTTAGTAACTACTTTATAAACATAACTGGTAAAACTAGATATCACACCAGCACCTAAGTAAAGACCTAAGAATTGTTCTTTACCCAGACTGTGAACAGCTCCTTTAACAACAAAAAATTATATAAAATTTTGAACAATTAAAACGAGTACCTGTGCTAAAACTATGTAGCACATACATATTAGCTAGGAGATGGAATCCAGAATAATGGCTGAAAGTGGACAATATCATAGGCAAACAAACACTTTTGCTTCCTGGGTTTGAGCAAAAATAGCGTAACATAAAAGGTTGAAGGCTACGTATTCGCCACGCTCCAAAGACGAGTACATTCAAGGCGCAAATAGGCACAAAAACTTTTTCACCAGGAGTTAAACTTTCCCACTTTTCTTTAATTTCCCTAACAAACATATTCTGAAATGAGGACAGAATACACAAATTGTGGTGGTACAAGTGCATACGAGCTTACAGATTTAGAATGTAAGTCTTCTGCGTGGCGTTTAAACAACCTTACTGGTTTTTTTAACATCTTTTTTGCATGTGCCCTCATTGTTTCATATTCCCAAATTGTAGCGCCTACAAAGCAAGCAGCACTAAACTAAAATTAGACTGTATAATAATCTCATACATCAGACAACACGTGTTACCCCAATTGTAAATCCTAATGGCTTTAAAAGATTGATGGGTTTTAACTGGGACGTTCCAAGACTAACATCTTGAAATGGTGTTTCAATACTGTTTATATTAGGTTTTGGTTGATCATTATTGCTACGGCCTCTTCTAAAGGTACGTATGTTTTTAGGTGGTGAGAATTCGTAATTGCAGTTCTTGAACAGAGCATTTCTTGGAGAACTGCAACTTGAAGGTTAAACCGACACATTGTAAGGTTAGGACACACCCTACCACAGCTCGCTTAAGCGAAACATGCGGCTAAAAGCCATTTGACTTCTCTAATATTTTCCGTTAAACCATGAATTTTCTTAAAATAAGGCAATTTTATGAAATGTATTTTGTCAAATAACGACATCAAACACCAAAAACTATTGTAAAAATTGTAGTGACATAATATTCCATTTTGTTGGCAATCATGATGCATGACCTTGAAAAAATGTGACCGTCTTTAAAATTTATTTTGAAATTTTAATTAAAAACTAGTAAAAATAAATATCTTTTTTAAATGCGTATATAATTTGAAACATGTATTATCCTTAAACTTCTTGTAAAATTGAAAATGGTTTAGGGGAATATTGTCCAAACAGAGAATTTAGGCGATTGTTGGCAGTGCTGGTAACATTGACGTATTGTTGACATTTCAGTTGCCGCTTTTTATGCGCAAATCGTGCAAATGTCCATGTTGAACTAACGCCGTTGTGCTTGTGTGGTGTTAAATGTGGATCTTCTTGCAAAAATAACCGAAAATGGCGAATATAAATTTGGATAAAGAGACTTTTCACCGGCGTTTGAAGAAATTATACACTGCTTGGCAGAAATCTGAAGGTGAAAATGGCTTTTCTAAGATGGATGCTTTGGTTACGGCCGTCGGTGTGGATGAAGAAGTAGTTTACAGCAAATCTGGAGCCCTACAAACATGGCTCTTGGGCTACGAACTCACAGACACCATAATGGTATTAACGGAGAAGAAAGCCTTTTTCCTGGCCAGTAAAAAAAAGATAGACTTTCTGAGACAAGCAGAGAGCAAAGATGAGAGTGCTGTACAATTATCTTTGCATGTACGAGATCGCACAAGCGATGAGGCCAATTTTAAAGTTCTTATTGATGCTATCAAGGAGAGCAAAAGTGGTAAAACAATTGGTGTGTTCTCAAAAGATAATTATCCAGGTGCTTTTATGGATGCCTGGAGAGCAGCCCTAGCAAGTGTCAATTTCCAGACAGTAGATGTAAGTGCTGCTGTTGCTTATTTAATGTCACCAAAAGAGGACTCAGAAATTGTAACAATTAAAAAAGCATGCATGGTGAGTGTCGATGTTTTTGTTAAATACCTGCAAGAACAGATAATGGAGATTATTGACTCTGACCGAAAAGTTAAGCATATCAAGTTAGCTGAAGGTGTAGAGTTGGCCATTACTGATAAGAAATATGTGTCTGGTGTAGACGTTTCTCAGGTTGATCTCTGTTATCCTGCCATTATACAGTCAGGTGGTAATTACAGTTTAAAATTTAGCGTCGTAAGTGATAAAAACACTTTACATTTTGGAGCCATCATTTGTTCATTGGGCGCCCGTTACAAATGTTATTGTTCTAATATTGTTCGAACTCTCTTGGTAAACCCCACAGAAGCAGTACAAAATAATTATAATTTTCTTCTGAATCTTGAAGATGAAGTCATCAAAAAATTACAAGCAGGCGTTAAACTCTCAGAGGTGTATGAAACTGGTTACAATTACGTTAAGAAAGAAAAACCTGATTTAACAGAAAATTTGACCAAAAATTTTGGTTTTGCGATGGGGATCGAATTCAAGGAAAGTTCTTTAATTATTGGACCAAAAACAAACTCTGTGGCCAAAAAGGGAATGGTTTTTAATATTAACATGGGCTTTAGTAACTTACAAAACAAAGATGCCTCAGACAAAGAAGGCAAAACTTACGCGTTATTCATTGGAGACACTGTTATGGTGAATGAAGGTCAACCATGTACACTTTTAACAAATTCAAAGAAAAAAATTAAAAATATCGGCATTTTCCTGAAAGATGAGTCAGACGATGAAGATAATGAGGACGAAAAGGCATCTCCTCCAAAGCCAGAAATTCTTGGGAGAGGTAAACGGACGGCGGTCCTAGAGTCTAAACTACGCACGGAACATACATCAGAGGAAAAGAGAAAGGAACATCAAAAAGAATTGGGCGCACAGTTGAACGAGAAGGCAAAGGAACGTCTAGCCAAGCAGTCAGGATCAAAAGATGTTGAAAAAGTTAGAAAAAATACAGTTTCATATAAGAATGTGAACCAAATGCCACGTGTACCCGAAGTGAAAGAATTAAAATTATATGTTGACCAAAAGTATGAAACAGTAATATTGCCAATTTATGGTGTTGCTGTACCATTCCATATTTCTACTATTAAAAACATTTCTCAGTCAGTTGAAGGCGATTATACTTACTTGCGAATCAATTTCTTTCATCCTGGATCTACAATGGGAAGAAATGATGGTAATTTTAGTTTTTTTTATGTATAATATTTTAAATGTTATATTTTGTTAATTAGTTTAAAAAAAAACAAATTTGAGTAACTTGTGTAAAAAGTTGTTGAACTCAATTTCAATTTACTTTGTTAAAATTAGGTTGGTTATTGATGTGACTCATTGTTTACATTTTAATCAGTTGCACAATTTTGATTAATTTTGTGTATTGCGTTGCAAACCGCCCAGAGATTTTCGGCATTTATATTTCATTAATATTTTGTTTTTAAACAGTGTTGAAAGTAGTATTGAAAACAGAAAAAGTCCCATTCATGAACAGACATATTGTACCTGCCTTTGGTTCGACGATCTGCTTATACCTGATGAATAAAAAAATAACTTTTCGCTTGCTTCAGAAATGACTATTATCTACGACAGTATTTAACTTATTTCATGTGAATGAGTGACATAAGTTACACTTATTTTTTAGCTAATTTTGGAGTCAGATCAAATTTTGTATGCTGCTATTACTCATCCTTTTATTTCACTGACAAAATGCGTAGTTGTTACAGTTTTGTCTAAAGTTAATTATTTGGTCTTAAGAATCTTTATTCTCAAATTACGTCAAATACATAATGTGAAGTAATAAAAGGGAGCAATGAAGTTCAGCTTTTAAAAATATTTGCAAACGCTTTATAAACTGACGCTTCGTAAGGTCGGTGCAGTTTGATTCCTTTTACTATTTGTGATATGTATAATTACATATTTTTCTATTTTGTCTTTTATTATGGAATACATAAAGACATTCAATACAGAAATACGCGAAATTACATTTACAACACACTATATTTCTGAAAGCAGTCATTTGAGGATAGAGTAAAATCTTAAGATTTCCTGTAATTTTCGGGTCGGTTATATGTTATTTTAATTTCATATACAATTTTTACTATTTTAAGGTGGCAACTACCAGCAACCTGAGGCTACTTTCGTTAAAGAAGTTACTTACCGTAGTATAAACACCAAAGAGCCAGGAGAAATATCTCCACCTTCTTCCAATCTGAATACAGCTTTTCGGCTCATCAAAGAAGTGCAAAGAAAATTCAAAACTCGAGAAGCTGAAGAACGCGAAAAAGAGGATTTGGTAAAACAAGATACCTTGGTTTTGTCTCAGAACAAGGGTAATCCAAAATTGAAAGATCTTTATATTCGACCCAATATCGTAACTAAACGCATGACTGGAGCTCTAGAAGCTCACAACAATGGTTTTCGGTACACGTCAGTCAGGGGAGATAAAGTGGATATTTTGTACAATAACATAAAGAACGCATTCTTTCAACCCTGTGATGGTGAAATGATTATCCTGTTACATTTTCATCTAAAACATGCCATTATGTTTGGAAAGAAAAAACACGTTGATGTTCAGTTCTACACAGAAGTCGGTGAAATCACGACAGATTTAGGAAAACATCAACATATGCACGACCGCGACGATTTGGCTGCTGAGCAATCTGAAAGAGAATTGAGACACAAACTAAAAACGGCTTTTAAGAGCTTTTGTGAAAAGGTACGATTCTTTACCTTTACGATTAGTATTTTTATTTTTATTTTTTTTAATTATTTTAGGTGGACGCCATGACAAAGCAAGAAATTGAGTTTGACACCCCGTTCCGAGATCTTGGATTTCCGGGTGCCCCCTTCCGTTCAACAGTATTACTTCAACCAACATCTGGCTGTCTTGTAAACTTGACAGAATGGCCTCCATTTGTTATCACTCTTGAAGATGTTGAACTGGTTCACTTCGAGAGAGTACAATTCCACTTGAAAAATTTCGATATGGTATTCGTTTTCAAAGATTATCACAGAAAAACGGCGATGGTAAATGCCATCCCAATGAATATGCTTGATCACGTAAAAGAGTGGCTTAACTCTTGTGATATCAGATATTCAGAGGGTGTGCAGTCTTTGAACTGGGTCAAAATTATGAAAACTATAACAGACGATCCGGATGGATTCTTCGAAAACGGCGGATGGACATTCCTTGATCCAGAATCAGATGAAGAAGAGCAGGCGCATGACGAAGAAACGGAAGATGAAGACGAAGCTTATGAACCGTCAGCCAACGACAGCTGGTCTGAAGAGAGCGAGGAAGATTCTGAATACTCAGAAGGTGATACAGACGAAACTGATGATAGCGTCTCTGGAGAGGATGATTTGGGATCTGATGAAGAATCTGGTAAAGATTGGTCAGATCTAGAACGAGAAGCGGCAGAAGAAGATCGAGAGCGCACCTTTGATGAAACTTTTGACAGGAAAAAGGCGCATCATAAATCCAGTAAACATTCGTCCACTAAGAATAATCATAAGAGCTCTCCCAGCAAACATTCTAATAATCACCATTCCTCAAATAGCAAACACTCTTCAAGTTCCAAACATAATAGCAGTCGATCTAGTGACAAAGATAGACACAAATCATCGAGCCATTCTAAATCGTCGAGCAGTTCAAAGTCGCCGTCGAAAGATAAACATAAACAGAGAAGCTCACACAGTTCTGATTCTAGGAAGCGTGGCCGTGGTGACAGTCCAGACAGGCATAAGTCGAAGAAATCAAGGAAGTAAACGTGTTTCATGTATAAGTTATTTTATTTAGTTTATGTTATAACTATTTTGTGTTTAAATTTCTGTGTTAAGTTCACAAGGTTAAATCCTTTACACTGAATGTACAGATTAAACATTTTGATATAAAAATGTCGTTTTTCTAGCGTTATTTTTTATGTGGTGTCTGCTACAAGTTGTGAGATTGAACTGTTTGCAATTAACATGAGCTGTTTTTAGTACTTAATGAATTTTGCATTTAATGTAACTGATGAAAATAATACCATTACGAAAAGATACGCACTACTTGCTTTTTTTTAACCAATTTTGAGATTTACGAAGAAATTTGTAAAATGTTTTCACACTCCAGAAATTAAACTGTTAATTGACGCAGCGGGCACTTCGATCATTTGCATCGAGCAAAGGAAAAAGCAAGGGATCAAACAAAATAAAAGTGTAAACATGTAGCTATGGTGTTACATCATGATTCGTGATTAATTACTGACAAAAAGTTAGAAGCTTAATGATTTATGGCAAGAAAGGACAAAGTCAACTTCCTTTAATATATACCTGACGGACGAATATTTGATGTCCAAGAAGCTTTGACGGGAACTGTATGCTTGAAAAAAATGGACGCAATAAACAAAGAATGAGACGAAAAAACGGTATACGTAACGTTGAAGTTAAGAAGATCCTACAAATATCGAGGTGTCAGACGTCAGCTGATGCTCTGATACGTGCGGTGGAAGTGGAGGCTGCATATAATACTTCTAGAACGTGCCACAGTCAGAGTGGAAGAATTAGAGATGGAAGTAAACGACAAGGTAGAAAAGCTGCTAGAAAAGTACTCACAACGAATAGATGGTCTAGTTCAAGGACGAGAGGACTTCCTTAAAAAATCATGGAATGTTATAGGTGTGGGCGCCAGGGAGGTATCAAACGTGATTGTCGTGCTCGATCGCCAGCTCCAAGGAGAAACATACAACAGAGATCTCCTCACCGAAATGTACATGAAAACTAAAAACAGACAGTACAGGGGATGTGCTGGCTGGTAAAAATAAGGCCCCAGGAAAGTGAAAATAGGAAGTTTCACTAGAGGCGACTATACCGGGGAAAATTAATGGAACTTCCGCGGCAATCATGATCGATACGGGCGCTGAGGTCTCAATTCTACATAGAGGATTCTCTAGAGCTAAAGATCTAAGGACTATAGCCGAAACAATCGGATTGAAGACCGTCGACACCAATCATGGGCGAAGTAGAGGTACAAATCTACATTGATCAGCTGAAAATGAAACATCGGGTTCTCGTGGCTAACATTGAAGATGACTTTATTTTGGGAATGAATTTGATGACCATGGGTTGACAGTCGATCCAGTGGAGAATGTCCTACGCCTTGGCAATGAAGAGTTTATCCTGAATCAGCGCTGTACGTATTGAATCGAAGCCTGTAAAAATGATCACATGCCAGAACGTGAAAGTTAGAGGGAATGCAGAAACAATTGTTCCGTCAAAGCAGAATTCAAACACGGATTTGCTCGAGGCACTATTCAACCAGAAGAATGTCATGATTGCGAATGCTTTAGTTAGAGCTTATTTGAAACCAGAAGTACATCGAGCGGGAGGGATGAATGCGCGAAGCGCGAAAATGAGCGAAGAGTATGGACGAGTCAGTAGCGGACCATTAGTGTTGTTATTGGGGTTTGTACGTGCTCGCGTTAGTATAAGAACGTACAAAACAGGTCCAAAGAGTAAAGGAAGTTCGTTCTCGACGCCGCTGATTCTGTGAAAGTAGTGCTCATGCGCACTGAATAGTGTTTCAAATACTGGTATCTGCGCCCTTTTATTGCTGTGTACTTCTGCTTTCAAATAAGCTCTAATACCGATCGTAACATACATATACGCGTCGCAAATGTTTTCCCCAATGACATGAACATCAAAACTGGGGATGTTCTTGCCGTCTGTGAACCAGTCACGAAGATATTTCACCACAATGAAGATCCTTTTGATAATAGACCTCAAAAGCGGCTACTGGCAAGTTGGTATTCATCCAGAAGATAAGTAAAATATCGTTTTTTCGGAGAGGCTTACATCAATTTACCGTTATGCTTTTTGGACTGTCTAATGCTTCGCCTCCTTTTGAGAGGCTAACGAAGATGGTATTACGGGAGCTAACGTGGAAAACATGTTTGGTTTATTTAGACATCATGGTAATGGGGAAGACATTTGAGTAGCACTTGACCAACCTAGAATAAGTATTCAGCCGAATGAAGGAGCGAAAATTGAAGTTGAATCCAGAAAGAAGTAGGATTTCTGGGGCATACTGTTTTGGCAAACGGGATCAAGACTGCGGAAACAAACATCAATGCGATTCGCGATTGGCCAAGAGATAAGCACGAAGTCCGGAGTTTCTTGGGATTATGTACTATCACGGCCAAAAAAATGGAAACACCTAACCTGCTCATGTCATTGATTTTTATTTAATTTTTCAATTGTATTTGTTAAATTTAGTTTGTGTCTGCTTTAGAATGAACGCCTCTGATTTCCTGACGTCTTTTAACATCGACGTGACAGAGAAATTGCACTTACAATAGAAAAATTAAATAAAAATCGATGACATGGGCAGGTTAGGTGTTTCCATTTTTTTGGCCGTGATAGTACATACTACAGAAGGTTTGTCAACGGATTTGTAACATCGCTGCTCCTCTGCACAGACTGACGAATTTGAAGTCTCAGTGTAATTGAACTGCTGAATGTGAGGGAACCTTCAAAAGATTGAAGAATACCCTATGCTCTAGCGCTATCCTGTCCTATCTTCAGTCATCGGGAATGTTCATCTTGGACACAGACGCGAGTAAGACTGGAATAGGTGCCGACGGACGGGCGGGCAGGCGCGCGGGCGGGCTGACGGACGGACGGACGAACGGACTGACGGACAGACAGACAAACAGATGGAAATGGGAGACCCATTTTTTTGTACCTTAACACATAACCTTCCGTGATATAATGCTTGTTGGTTACGTACACAGGGGATGAAAAAGAGGAGCTGTAGTGTTTTTGTTGTTTGTTTGTTTATGCTTTTGTTATTAAATCACACGTCGTGTATTAATCGTTTACTGTTAATCAAAATACAACTCTAATACAGTCATAGACAGTGTTCAGCATCAGTACTGTCAACCTAAACTTTACTATAGAAGTCAGTTACATTGCCAAAAAATATAAAGGTGTGACCTTGAACAGGTTAATGCAATCGAAACTAAGTGTAGCTATACGAAACAAACACAACAGACAAATATTAAATGCAGTAGAAATCAAAATAAGGTGGGTTTGGCGCTTATCTCACGTTATGTACTTCATGTCGCAGCAATAAAATCTCCAAATTCAGCTTGTTGGACAATAATACACAAATAATATTAAAAAACAAGCATTTCCTGGTCCACCATGTTATCACAGATGTTATTTTAATTTGAGTGATTATAATATGCAATTTCCAAGGTCTCGTGCACTGCTATTATAACAGAAGTAACGCGATCGTCCAAAAAGAACGTGAGTCGATCGAGTGATCCTCAAATTTTTCTACCTGCTATTTTGCATTGCTAAAGGGCGACATTTCTAGGATTCTAGGAAAAAGCATGGTTGCCTATATTACTGATTAACAATCTTAATTTATTTTTCAGATTCAGATTATTCGGCGGTTTCGCGCCGTTGTTCTTTTTTTCAGCTCGAAATTTTAATTGAAACTGGAACACCGTACAACATTTTCCACGATTGTTGTTAAATTGTATTAGAAACATGAATGGCTAAAAATATGAACATGAACTACGAATTTAGTAACAACAAAGCAAAAAGTCCAGGGGTTCATGATCTAAAGCAGCTTTCAGCACGAAAGGGTACAGGGGCGGGGCTTAAGATGCGCGACTTGTAGTCGGGCTAGCAGTGGCGTAACATCGATGTATTGAGAATGGAGTTTCGGCTGAGTTACTGCCCATTCACAATGGACATAAGGCATAACAAGTACATAAAGCTTACATAAATACATAAAGTTGAAACGATGGAAAACGTATACCCCTGTTCACAGTGGACCAACGTAATTCTTATGCTTATGAACGTTTTATGTAATCCTTGTGTGCGTACACAAAGTTGAAATAAGTTCAACTTTGTGCACGAATTATGTCAAAATTATGTTAAAATCTAGGGACTTTTGAATGCTGCTATTGAATTCCCTTTGACAGTTGGCACTGGCACTTTACACCTTTAATTATATTATATATATTATAATCAAAGTTTCTAAATGCGAGTCTGTTCTGTACTGCTAGTTGTCAAGTTCGAATATCGTACGAAATTGTAGGTTAGATATTTTGATTGACTCAGTTTGAGGTTAGCCGTTTCTATGTTTAGCCGGGAGTCATTCCGTTCTGCGTTTGCGCAGTTTAACAATTCTTACAGAGTTCACTCTGTCCACTGTGAACGTAGATAAGCATAAGCCAGACACAAACCAAAAACATAAATTATGTTATGCGCTCGTTCTTATGTCTTATGTCCATTGTGAATGGGCAGTCACACTGCGAGTTGTCAATTTCGAATATCGTATGAAATTGTAGGTTAGATATTTTGATATTTTTGATTGACTCAGTTTGAGGTTAGCCGTTTCTATGTTTAGCCAGGAGCACGGTTGTAGAATAGATAAGTTGATACACTAGCATACATTTGCATATCCCTGGTCAGCGACGCCAATTGCCGATCGCGTCGCCTGGTTTTTGACGTTTTAGGGACACCATGGCCGACTCCATTAATCTCTAAAGAGATATGGCCGTTCCATTCGGTATTTTTTGGCAAGTGCGGAAAGTATGCCATGAAGTGACCCTAAACGGTCGGACTCTGGTGGTCCTTACGCATATTAATTTTTAATTACAGATTTCTTTATTTACTGACATTGATGTTTTATCCTAATTTGAGCGGTAATTACAAATAATTCGTCAGTCATGAAGAAATGTTATTTATGTGGGAACAGTTGTAAACCTTTCTTTGGATTTCCTGCTGACAAATATTTAAGAATCAAATGGCTCGATGCAGTTGATAAATTATGTGGTATTTAAAGCAATTGCATCTTTTTTGACACTGTATTTTCAACGATTATTTTTACCTATTACAGATATTTCTAAAATTACAGATTATTCAGTGCTTTGTAAAGAACATTTTACCCCAGATTGTTTCACAATCATATCCAACAATAAGTGGCGTTTAGTTAAGGGGGCTGTACCCACTATATTTGTAAGTATATTCCAGAAACCAGGAATAAATATTCTAATTTTGTCAATAATTTTGAGAATCCTCCCTTCCTACCTGATCCTGTCCCCAATCATGAAACTCCAGAGCAGTTTCTTTCTGAAAAAAATTGCAAATTAGTGCAAGTGGATTCAATTTCTACAAACGAATTCAGGAACCTACAATACCACTGCAAAATTTTAACTTCAAAATTAAAAAGATTAAAAGAGCAACATTCAAGGTGTTTAATTAAAATAAAGAATTTAGAAGAAAAAAGAAAAAAAAACAGGACAAATTTAAAACTTATTGGAAATATTTTAGAAGATTCTGAAAAGTTGGACGAAAAGGCCATATTTTTAATGGATTTAATTACAAATTATGGTAAAAAGCGACCTCAATGGTCAGAGATGTCAGTTCGGTCCTGTACTATTTGGAGGTACACCTAGAGAAGAACCCTCTATTTAAATGTGAAAAACATAAACGTTTAGTTTGTAAATTTGTTGTAACAACAACTGTAAAACCTGTTTTGGACAACATATGTCTTGAAACCACAGATTTAGTCAAGGCAAAATTGTTGCAGCACAAACCAGTCAGCAGAAAGGTTCTAAAGTTGTAATTTTCTTTTTATTATTATTTAGTGCATAGGTATTCAGGTATATCTACTTACATTAACATGATTAGAATTTTCCATTGTTATTTTTATTTATTCCATTTGATTTAATAAAATGAGTTCTGTTATAAACATTCCTGATCTGAATTTGACTTTATTAAATTAAAAATTGTCAAAATTTAATATGGCAACTCAATCGGGGTTGTATTTTATTAACATTTCCATTGTCAGATGGCACCACTTTAGAGAACTTTTCAATTGTTTGGAAAGCCAATTTATAAACGCCGAATGGAACGGCCATATCTCTTTAGAGATTAATGGAGTCGGCCATGGGGACACAGAACTCTATAGGCATCTGTCTAGAACCGATGTAATTAATAAAAGAAATCGTATTTATCGACTCCGATCAAATGTCATTTACAAATTTTGTATTGTTCATAAAGCAATGTAAACGAAAATCCCTAAAATAACTAGAACGATTTCCGCTCGACAAGGTAGAGGCGCTAGCTGTCTGTGTCCTTTCCATGGATATAGGGATCGAAAAAAAGCGTCGCCATCCCAAGCCATTAGTGTACAAACCTATCTATTCTACAACCGTGGCCAGGAGTTATTCCGTTCTGCGTTTGCGCAGTTTAACAATTCTTACAGAGTTCACTCTGTCCACTGTGAACGTAGATAAGCATAAGCCAGACACAGACCAAAAACGTAAATTATGTTATGCGCTTGTTCTTATGTCTTATGTCCATTGTGAATGGGCAGTTATATTTCTTTCAAAAACAATTAAAAATAGAGCAATTTCCACAAAAGAATACAGACAACCATTTAATAAAAATAAATTTATTTGTTTGGTAAAAAAATAGGCTTACGTAACAATAAATTATTATAATGTATCACAAAACATTTGGTATTTTTAACTCCTATTAAACGAGTTTATAATGTGAGGGATTATAGCATGAGTAAAAAATTTCACGAACCCCGCATTATAAACCCGTATCATACGCTATTTTATAGTCGACTAGTCTTAAATCAACAGTTAAATGTTTCAATAAAAGCGGGGATAAAACTCTGAGAATTAGCAATCCATGATATTTTTAGTTACATGGTTTTTAATTTTCTGGCACAATTTGTCAATTCCGTAAAGTCGGATTATAATAAGGCTTAACGTCTACTATCTTTAAGTCCAAACTAATAATCACAGTTCATATTTTAGCATAATTGTCGTTTATAGAGCCTCTAACTATAATCTGATGAAAAGATTAATCTGAATCGTCACTGTTGTAAAATAACGGTGCCACCCCAAGATAATCGTGATCACACTGATTTCCACGTCTACCACCTGACGTACTGGGCTGCTGATCGTCAGCGTCGTCATCTGAACTAAAGTCTTCGTCGGAGGAGCCGGTATTTACCATAAACTCAAACTCCTCCAACGCATCATCTAATAATCTTTCTTTAATGATATATTCGTCTTCCACTTTAACGAAGTTTCGACAAACAGCAGCCCAATCATCTGCCGTAAGTTCGGCAAATCGCGTTCTTGCCAACTTTTCGACATCAGGCAGCTTAAAGGTAGTGTTCCGTTGAGCAACCCAATTTTTTACATTTGCCCAAATTTTTTCAATTGGGTTTAGCTCGGGATGGTATGGCGGCAGTCTTAGCACTGCATGACCAAATTCTGTCATCAGAGTATCCAGTTTATATATACGGGTGGCACTTTTAAAATCCTTGATAACTTCATAAATTTCTGGTTTAGTCAATGTTTTGTCCACCACGATGTCTCTTTCTTCCAACCACAACAGCATATCTGCTTTCCGTGTGGTGGAAGTTGGTTCTTTTATTTCTCTGACATTATGATGAGGCATTGTCTACCACTAAGACTGAATTTGGTCGCAGATTTGGTATTAAGTTAACTGAGATCTTGCCCATCTTTCAAAATTATCCCAATTCATGTCGTCGTGATAGTCACCCGATTTAGTACCTGTTATAGATAAAAACAAGTTTAAACATTGTGGTTAATATGAATAAAAGACTACAAGTTACCAGACGTAAATATTAAAAGTCCGTTCTCAACATATCCACTTTCATTCCCGGCATGAACAATTATCAGTCTTCGGCCTCTAGCAAATGGTTTACGTAATAATTTGTCGCTTTCATCAGTCCATTCATATGGTGTTGTATGGCTGGAATTAATATAAGTTTCATCTGTGTAGACAATATTACGGCCTTCTGCTCTATATTGCATCAGATTTTTCAAGTACTTTATGCGTTTTAACCGCACGTCTTGTGATTCCATTAAAATCTTCCTGTTATCTTTGGTTTTCTTCCACCTTTAATTATATTTAAACATTGCAGACAACAAAATTATCAGTTAAAAAAAAAATTATTTACCCAAATCCCATTTTTTTTAGGATTCTTCTTAAAGAACTTTCATTACCTTGGAAAGGCAGCTGAGCAACTTGTATTTTTTTTTAAGAATGCTAAAAAGTCATATTAACAATATTAGTGCGAAAGTATGTACTAAAAAAAAATACATGCTCGTAGTACGTATGTATTTAGTGCAGTCATTTCCAAAAAATTTCGGGCAAGATGAGCAAATTAGGTTGTTATAGATCAATGAAAAGCAATTAGAATATGACTTTCACGTCAATGTCATTTGCCCGAATTTTTTTGGTCCTATTTACATGCTTTACAACTAACTCCACGCATGCCAGGGCATTCCAGAAAAATTATGAATAAAGCTAACAACTACACTTTCTACTGTTACGAAAACCCTAAGCCCTAAACCGAGGTTAAAACATGCAATATTTGTAAAATCCTTGAACCATAAACATAAAAAATAAAAAAAATAACATAACTGACCTTCTGTCTGCGTTTTTTTTTAAATCTCGCCATTTGTTTTTGAATAAATAAACTGAATTATGCAATGTTACCAGGTATTGTTGCCCGTCTTTTTTCAGTGACATGAAAATCATAGAACATTTGACGAATGATTTTCTGAAAATTTTCGTCTATGTTAGTGACTTTTGGTGCAGGTTTTGTTTTTATCGGAGTAGAGAAACTTGATTTTTTCCCAGATTTGACTTTTCCTTGCTCTTTTGATATGTATTTATCGAAATTCCAGTAGCTGCTATAACACGTTCTCTATAATTTGTTATGGGAATTGTAATTCCCTCTTCAGCTTCCCGTTTCATGAAATCCATGACTCTTGCTATTATTTCTCTAGTTTGAGAATGAAGAGGCTTTCCTTTGCCCATTTTTGAGGTGAACATTTTCACTTGATTTAAAATAAAAAAAAAAGGCAGTAACGTACTGTAAAGATATTTTTTTTTCAAAACACTTGCACAAAAAATTACAACACTTTATACTTGCCGGCAAAAAAAGAACAGAAGCAAAATTGTCTTGAAAAAGACAGATTTTTTAAAAACGGACTTCCAAAACACACGGTCAACAAAGCAAAAAACGCAACGAAACACGGGAAAGCAGTGAGCAAGCACGAGACACAGGAAGAAATGCAGACCAGAAGAAAAAGACGAGACGAGACAAGAAAAGGAGAAGACGAGCAACGAGACGTAAACTTGTTTGTATAGTTTCTTTTATTTTTATTAGAATTCCCATTTTTCTTGAAAGTAGAGTTCTGTTTACCCAAAAATCGCACGTCTAGTCCGCTACCGCGTATATTCCACATCTTTTGTCTATTCTCTCCAAGACATCATATAGTGCGCGGCTAATATACGGTTGTGCGAAAAATGTATGAGCCACAAAATAAGAGGAAGCGAAAAGCGTTTACGGCTGGATTTAAGTTACAAGTAAGTAAATATCTAAACAGAAGGTTTTTCACATCTACTTGTCAAATGTGGCAATTAATTCGAAGTAAAATACCTAATGTACCTATTTTCCTACTTATGTTTTTTTATATCGTCCGCTTCGCAGCCAAAACCTGAAAAAAACTCGTTTAAGCCGCAGACTATACGCGCAATTTTAGGGTAATGAAAAAGCGTAGAGCATATTTAGAGTATTGTAAACGTTCTTGTCAATAACAATTTAATGACATGATTTGTCAAAACAAATCCGCCTTATATAAATTGGTCGATAATATCATAATCAATTACAGTTTGCATATACGCCTCAACACTTGATTCTCCTCAAAAATGTTCACATTGGAAGATGGTTGGTTAATTTGAGTTGTTACAGTAATTAAAATTTAAACAAAAATGTTAGCCCAATTCACAATAGCAAAAATTATAAGAAAACAAACACAAGAGTTGTGCGCTTTTTCATTGAATACGACTGTAAGTAAATACGTGATTTTGACGTTAGTTGGTATTTTCTGTTTTAAACAACACTTTTATTCAACTCATACATCATAATACAGCATTAACAAATCTTTAAATTCGTTTAAAATTGATATTTAAATGAACACCAATTATTATTAATTCTTATTAAGTATTTTGAATACCCCTCGGATTACATCCAGCATTTTTTTAAATTTTCATCGCCGCTGCCACTGCTTACACGATATTTGGAAGACCAAACCAAAATAATGTTCTGCGCACTCCCACCAGCTGTACCCTTTCGTCTTGAAAGCTGCTCTAGTCAAAGTTTTACACTTTTTGGGTCTCAAAACCGTCACATTTCAAATTAGAAAACCATAAACAAACTAATGCGCTACTTTTACGCTTGTGGGGAGGGGGTGTGGCGTCGAATGTGATTAATTTTTGTTTAAACAATTGCCCCTTTTATGAGATTATAAACTAAATTTGACGTACCCTTAACTTTCGCTCACTAAACAAGAAGTGGCGAAGAGAAGAAATCCTTAAAAAGTACCTGCACAACTCTGCATTAAAACATTCATGGTTGCCTATGTTATGGAGTTAGTTTTTTCTTGTTTTTAATTTTTCAAGTACAGTTTCGCGATGTTGGTTTTTTTCTCAGTGCGAAATTTAAACTTCAAATTCAGGGCACTACAGCAAGAAAAACACTTTTTAAAACGGTTTACAAAAGTTACAAGATCGCTGTAGTAAGTATACTAGACATAGAAATAATATTATATGGAAGTAACTTAGAGAGAGACGCGCGTTGTCAACACAGTGGGACAGAGATAGGGCTTTCTGGGTGGCCTTTATTAGATCAATGGTACTAGAATTTTGAAAGGGGAATAAATCCAACAAAAAATATTTTCATTTTCAAACTGTTTTTTGTTCTGTGGTAGACTATAAGAATTTATCAAAATATCAACATCGAAAAAACATAAAAGTCGCCATTCGCTGGATGCATCCTACATATTACAATAGTTTGCTTACGTACTGGAAGTGAATATTAAAGGGGTGTTATTCAAAACCTGACACTTTTATGAACCAGGCATTATTTATTAGGCACATTCTTTATCTAAGTCAGAAGTCAATTAATGTTATTATTACGCCAAATAATTTTAAACTATTGAAATGAGATCAAGCTACTTTTTCTACATTTTTTGAGTATTTCAGTAATACGACTGTGTCTGTGAGTTTCAAGTATATTTATTTGGTAATGTATATAATTAAAGCTTTATTCTGAATCCAGGCATCATAAACAGTAAACAATACATACATATTGCTAGATATTCATAATTAATATCAGTCAATTCTATAAAATTTACAAATAAATATATATTTCTAAAGGTATATATATATGAGTAAAATAAAGGGTGACGTAGTAAGTACTCCACACTAAAATGACTCAAGATTTAAATATTTTCTCCTCTACTATATTCACTTTATCTAATAGTGAAGACTGTTCTCCAACTTTGACACCTTGGCGTTTCAACTCTTGTAATCTATACTCAAGGACGTCCTTGTTTCTTCCAGCTTGCCACCAAATTTTCGTGCAGACGTTTAGTAATGGTACATATAATTCCAATAAATCACTGTCGCTGACGCCCTCATATCTATGTAAAGCTAAATCTGCCCATTTCTGGGAATGTAAACAACCTGGAATTGACATACAGCATCCTAACAATCTACATAAAGCTATCAACACTGCAGGAGATCTATCAGTAAGCACTTTGTTTAATAATTTAAAATTATTTTCAAGCAGTGGTAAGGCTTGCAAAAAATCATTTTTCTCAAGGTAACTTTTAGCTTTCTCCAATTCAACGCTTTGGAGAAAATCTAATAAGGCTTTAGATGATCGTAGCTTTGATTCAGTTGAAATGTGTTTTAGAAGTGATTCAAATCCTGTGCTTCTTGTAGAGATCAGTTCGTTATCAAAATTTCCCATGAGAACTTTCTTGGGAAAAATTATGTTAGCCATTAATTGAGGCTGTTCTTTTTTTAAAGCATTGTATAAATTGAGAAAATGAGTATAGCGTCGTTCGATCACAGAAGGGCTTAAATCGTCGTTTCCTGATATATGACGCACCTGCAGAGTGTAAGTTACGTGTTTCTTTTCTTCAACTTCATCACATATTCTTGCTGACACAATTTCAAACACTAGTCCTTGTCTTTCGTTGCCTGTACAAACAGAAAAATGAAAAATTAAGTAAAGCTTAGACTAAATTACCGTCACTAATACAACAATACGTGTAAACATTAGTGTAGAAAAAAAAACACTGATCAACGTAGGTAATTACAAAAAAATAACTTACCTAGGATTTGCGTCATGTTGGAAATTTAAAAATTTATTTACATGCTCAATCTTGAGTTCAAAACCGACGAATTTCATTTGCACTTTTTGGAAAATACATTATCAATGACATTTCGTGATAAGATTGTGTGTCAGACACAGTGATAAAGAAAACAAACGTCAAATGACGTCAAAGTCGCACAGTTATTTTATTATACTATCATGGAAGTTCGATTATGAAAATAAAGTGGTTCGTCATGGATAATGAAAAATTATCTATTTTTATTAGAAGAAATATAGAGATTACACTGTAAATTTAACAGTATTTCTAGTCATGTGAGCCACAAAAGCGTTTAGGGTAAGTGATCTTACGTTTGTGTACTCGTACACGCGTTAACCTATAATTTTGACAGATGTCAAAATTAATCTCCGACATCAAAAAACCCTCTTTGGATTTACTGGAAATAGAGAAAATAGAAAAACTAGAAAAATATGATCCAGTTGGGGATCCTTTGGTTATGGAAAGCCTTTATAAAATAAATTGGAAAGAATTTGCATGTGGGTGGACTGCCGCGTTGATCAATATAACCATAACTTATCCAATAAACAAACTGATCTTCCGACAGGTATATTGTTAATTATAGTGGGTTTTATTGTAGATTGTGTGATTTTAGATGTTACATGGTGTTAATGTGTCAAATGCATTTCGCCAGCTACATGAGGAAGGTCTATTTTATTTGTACAGGGGCATGTTGCCCCCATTGTGCCAAAAAACATTGTCTTTATCATTAATGTTTGGAGTATATGAAGAAGTGCGGCGTCCATTATTGAACAGTGGTTGTAATGAATATGTGGCTAAAGTAATAGGTGGACTTGCATCTGGTACAACAGAGGCAATTTTGATGCCTTTTGAGAGAATCCAGACGATACTGGCTGATGCTCATTACCATAAGGAGTTTAAAAATACGGTTCATGCATTTAAAGCTGTTGGTCTCAATTATGGGTTTCGGGAGTACTATAGGGGTTTAGTTCCAATTTTACTCAGGAATGGACCATCTAATGTAGGTTTCTTTGTGATCAGGGATGAAGTTCATAATTATCGTCCAAGATTTGAATCAAAAATTTATGAGACTATAAGTGAATTTTTTTGTGGAGCAATGATAGGTGTGTTTTTATCTAGTGTGTTTTTTCCATGCAATGTTCTCAAAGTTGCTATGCAAAGTAAAATTGGTGGAAGTCATGAGAACATATTTAAAGTTTTAGTACAAATTTATAATGAACGAGGTAGAAAAATTAGGAACTTCTATCATGGTGTACAGACTAATTGCACAAGAGCGTTTATAAGCTGGGGAGTAATGAATGCAGCGTATGAAAATTTGAAAATTCTTTTCTCCTGAGTCAATTAATTTCCTTGTAAATTATTTTAATTAATAACTTTTAAGGCTGCATGGTCTATTACACAAAAGTATTTTTTATAGATTGTTAATTATTTATGATAAAGTATTCTCTGTTGAATGTTTGTTGTAGTGGAGGTCCAAATGTTATTCCAGTTTATGTGAAATAAATTTGTGATGAAGGAAAGATTCTAAGTGAGTGTTAAACGACGAACTGATGAAGCCTGTGAACAAATTATATTTGTTATTCGTTTTTATTACTATAATAATAAAGACCTCGTGAATCATTAGCAACATTTTTAGGTTTACATGTGTAAACCTATATTATAACATCAATAAAAGTACCCACTAAATAATGTTAGCAACCTTATTTACTGAATTATGAAGTAGGTAAATATTAACCAGTGAATATTTATTAGTGTTAATCGGGTTATCTCTACCGTGTAGTGGTAATGCGGTGTGACCACAGAACTTCAATATAGGTGTGACTAGTTTTTTTTTTTAATCAACAAAGGTTCACTACATTTTTTCTAAAATGTCTGAATAGAGTAACGTCACAGTATAGTAATGTCGTGACAGTTCATAATACTTAAATAATAAAAATAAAATCATATAGTTATATGTAACTATCGCATGTTATCATAGTAAGAGCTCGTCCCAAATTACATTTTGCCCGTTTTGCTCCATTATAGTTTAATTAATGAAAATTTTTCTCTCCTCTCTTTAGAGGAGACAAAAACAATCAAATTTCATTTCCTTTTAATGTATATGCTTGTCATCGAGACGCACCAAATAGATTACAGCGACTCAAAAAAATTAATGAATGAGTCAAATTATTTTATTGATTAATAAGTCAGGAACGACTTACTCCATTTTCCCGAAAATCTGGGAATACAGTAAGTGACATACGTGTTCTTGCAAAAATGCTGCAGACATCATCACAAAATTTTAAAAAGGAAAAACTCGTTGCAAACATACGCGTAACACTCTTCTTCGTGTTTACTTTAAACTTTAACATTGCAAATATGCAATGTTAAAGTTTAAAGTAAACACGAAGACGAGTGTTACGCGTATGTTTGATATCCCAAACTTCCCGCCTTAAATTGACACTTGAAAAACTTTGAAAGGCCCGCGAAAAATTCAAAAATTCAAATTTGGCCTTGGCTGTGATCGTCTAACAAAATGGAACCTAGGTTGTGTTTTTTTTTTTTTTTTGAAAAATGTCGGGAAGACGTCGTTTCATACAAGTGAGCATACACTGCGTGCGAATAGAGAGCGCAAGAAATAATAAACAAAATTTTTGGGAGGGGGCTAAAAATCGCACCCCTCTCTAGGAGGAAAAGGAGGCCGAATCGCGATCGCTTTTCAGCTCCAAAAAACCCCCTATAGTTTATTCGCCCACATATAATACATATATCGCAAATGAAACACATAAAAATATGAAAGAAAAAGACAACCGCGAGTTGACAGACATACACATATGGGAACCGAACAAGTACAAAAACCCTACGTATATGTTTTTGAATCAATGCAAATATTTGAATATCACGAATTTAAAAAAAAAGCAAAATCTGAGTTAAAGTAACCGGATGCAAATACACAAGTTATTACGGGCCTGTGGCGTCAAATTTAAAATTATGGCAGTTAACAAGAGCACAACAAAAATATCCATAAGGGCATTCTAGCACAAGCGGAGGTTGGGGCTTCCGGCCGTGGCTGGTCTCCCCCGCCACGGTCTTTCTATTTTATCGGCAAGCAGCTCTCCATGACGAACATGCCCTGCTACCCAGGTCGTTACGATCGAAAACTCGTGGTTGGAAGTCACGGCTGTTAATAAGCTAACGTTACGTCGTCCAGACCGTTCCCCTAACTTCGATGTATACAAAGCCTGCATCTCTTGTGCAGATGGCGCGACAAATCCCTCTATCCCCTACTAGGAACCGCGCCCTCCGCTTCTGCTACGTGTTTCGGTGTTATTTAACCCCAATTCCATTTATATGTTCAATTTCTATAACTCTGATATTAAACTACACCTGAACAAGTGCTAAAGTTTCAAAAGAGCAATAAACAATAATTAAATTCGCCGTACAATCTTGTGAAATTTTAAACAAATAATTCTTATTTGAGATTAAAATTGGACATCAGACAATTTATAGGATAGAAACATTCATCAACAAAATATTTGCATGATCAAAACTAGCAAAGATTTATAGACAAAAATCTGGTGTGAAATAAACTTGTGCAACTAAGAATATTACTTTAGGTTAAAACTGCAAAGCATGAGAATTTACGTTCAATTAAAATTATACAACAAAGAAAATTACTGAGGTTAAAATTGTAAGATAGAGAAATATTGTATGAGGTGAAAAATTGCAAAGTTAACAAAATTTACATGAGATTAATACTTGCCACACTTTATCAACGATTCCAACAAAGAGTTTACATTATGTCAGATTATGTCATGATCCAAGTGATTGGTTACTTAAAACAATTTACTTCGAGAGTTTATAATACCGTGAACTGATTACCTCAACAAAATACATTATAAATAAACACAAAAATATCCAGACTTCGTAGCGAGGAAAAAGCGTCTGGGTGATGTAAGTTTTACCGTTGCGCGGAAATGCCTCGATGATGTAAATTTTAACGTTGCGAGGAAATGCCTCGGTGATGTAATCAATCTTTAGAGTTGCGAGGACATGCCTCAGTAATGTAATCAATCGTTAGCGTTGTGAGGACATGCCTCAATGATGTAATGGTGATAACGATGATAACTGCCTAAGGGAAGAAATTATTTTAACCCCTCCGTCAGTTCACGGTATGAATTAGTTAATTTAACTGCCGTAAATGAACTATTAGCAATCTTGTGTGAAGAATTAAGAAGTGTCATAATTTAACACTTACGTATACGTATCCAGAAACTTATTTATAATTAGACGAACAAAATCAAACTAGTCCTGACTAAGTGAATTTCATGAAAACTTCTAGCAAATGTCTGTTTAAATAAATCTAGGGCCGGTTTATAGAACAGCGAGTTAAATATTTAATCCTCGATTAGTTTAACAGAGAATTAAAATGTGGAATATGAGCCCGTGATTGGTTAAAATATGCGCGTTGCCTCGAAACGGACCTCAGTTAAAAGTTAATCGCGAATTAACTTTAACTTCGCTTTCTATAAGTCGGGTCCCAAAATTTGTTAAATTGCGTTAGCAACAGGCAACGATTAAAGCCCTAACCTGATCGGCGAATTTACAAACAATAAAACAAATTTACAGCACGTGTACCGTCGTCGAAAGATCGCATGTTTTCCGATTAAAAGCCGCAAGAATTAGTCGCGTGGGTTGGGGAAAACTGGGCGCCATCGTTACGATTAATTGACGTTAAACAAAGGCTTCCTCCCTTTTATTAACTACCAAACCAACTAATTTAACCTAGCTGCTTACAGCGTGCTTTCAACATGCATCCACTACACCGAACCAAAATATAATGCCCCCGCTTTCAGCCATGCTCTCCTGTCAAGGCCAACTACCGCCCTCTAACTAAATATGCAGAACTACCCCCAAGGGTTAACGTGCACATGGTTGCCTATGTTTAACGATTTTTTGATTGCATTTTTTTCTTTCAAATTAAAATTATTCAAATGTGATTTCGCGTCGCTATTAAATAAATTCAGCGCGAAAATTTGATTCAAATTTAGTCACCACAATATATATCTTTTTTTTACGTATAGGGGTTCTCAGAAAAAATTGCAAAATCAAATTTTGTATTTTTTCGAAAAAGCTGGTTATCATTTATTGTACTTCGGGGGCGAGGAAGTTCTGTCGAAATAATCTTCGATCGATTTTTTATTTGTATTTTGCTCATGGTTTCTTGAAAGAGAACTGGAAAATCTAGTCACGAGTATTATTTAGGATTTTTCGCACATGACATATCTAGATGGCAACCCTGTCAACTGACATTTGACGTCTGAAATTCAATTTCAAAATCCATATCGGAATTTTTTTTTACTGAAAGTGTTCCGTTTCCATTTCAGTGTTCGGCACGAGGTCCCTGTAGGTGATCTTAACTGTCTTGACTAGAGAGCGGATTTTATGAAATTTGCATATCCGTTATTTTTTGCATATAAGTCTTGATATTTAATATGTGAACGAATCATGCTAATTAAAAATGAATACAGCTATAAAAAAATTACATATTTGCATATATTTGCATATATTTGCCTTCTGCTGCATATTTCACGTAACGGGTGCATATTTTGCATTTTTATCAATTTTTGTGCTACTTTGAAAAAAAAAAATGCCATTCGATCGGCATTTTTCTAGAAAGACGAAATTTCATTAATCATATTGCAAATATTGTCCTGAGCTTCAAATAACTGGGAAAGGTTTGGGTTTTATGGTAGTTTGGAGGAACTACTGGGTGTTAAGCCATCTTTCCAGGTAAATTCGGGTCCTAATTACTTTTGAAAATACCGTTCATTTCAATATTTTTGTTCGTTGTATTAATTTTATGGTGGTCGAAGGGACATTATCCTATTATTTTTCATTGTGAGTTTGCATTTAAGTATTTAAAGCGATAGAGATGTGTGTCAGTATGTAGATAACTCAAATTAATTTATGAATTAAACCTTTTCCTGAACTTATTCTTCAAGAAGGAACTATGTTTTGTTGTGCCTGCTTTAATCCGATAAGTATTTTTATATCTGTGGACGCAGTACGCAGTTTTTATATTTACAAATACATACTTTAGAATCACCGGAAAAATTTTTGTTAGAATATTTCGAAAAATATTTAAAAATAAATTGTTACCAAAATAGTAATTAAATAGTCGATTACTACTATTTTTTAATTCGTTCTGTTTACCTATATTTATTTTTTAGTATAAGAATATTATCTTAAAAAATGTCATTTATTTGTTAGTGAGATCTAATTAAACACTTTGCAATGTGATTTATGTATTTTTTGTAATAAAAGGTAAGGTATTTTTGCAATTTGTAAATAAATTTAGTTCGGTTATTACGCTTTTTTTAATTTTTGGAGCATATGCAACTGCATATCTCTGCATATATTAAGAAAGTTATTGCATATTTGCATAAATTTGATGCATGTCATATGATCATATTTCCCAAAATTTTGCTGCATATTTTCCGCTCTCTAGTCTTGACCATGATAAATCCACTAGAAATCTTCATCATAATTTGTACGCCCGAAATATTGGAGTCAACACTCATCAACAAAATGTTTTTACCCAAGACTTGCAAGGCATTTCGATTATTACACGTGCTGTGTTAAGGTCTGCAACAACTGTAAATTTGGATCGAACGGCGAATAATAGATAAATAAATGTTTTTTTACTAAACAATTATACACCGTTGTACAAGTAGATGAATTAAAACTGAATTGAAGTTACAGTAGTTAAAGTTCAAGTTTTGCTGGATTTGACTTGACACAATACATTTGACGTTATAGACAAGATAATATTACAAAGTAAACTGTTTCTAAAACCAGTTTCACAAAGGTCTTTGGTTTCACAATGAGCCTATTTTAAGCGCACAGTTTCAAAAATCATTACGGATTCATCAGTCAGAAGGATAAGAGTACATCCTTCTGACTGATGAATCCGTAATGATTTTTTAGCCTAGACATAAAAATTTTTGTGGAAAAAAGTATAAAATAGAAAATAACTTGCTCTGAAATCTTGCAATCGCAGGCATCCCTTGCGATAACCTTCAAATTTACTCACACACAAAATATATACTAATTTAATCATTATTACACAGCAAACAAAATTAAAACCAATACTTGCCTTAATAAAGGACCAACGTGATTCATGAGGAACGGGAATTAGGCGAAAAAAACTTGAGATTTGTCGAAGCGGAAAATAAATCGAAAGTGCTTATTTTTGTTTTTTTTTTTCGATTTTTTAAAAAAAGGCCATATTGGATATACAGTTTCCGACAAAAAATTTCAAGCATCACTTTTCTGTCGTGTCAAAAATTTTAATGTAGTCTATGCTTTATTGTCATTATTTCGGACAGCTGGAATGTCAAACCATGGCCGACTAGTATAAAGCACCTATGGTAATGAATTCAGTGGCGTGACAAGAAAACTCGGGGTTGATTGTCGGAACTCACCTGAATCAGTTGCGAATACGAAAGTTACCTTTTTGCAACGTTACGAACGACTTTAACGTTTGTATGAATCGCCGTGGTCGATGCGCACCCTATACCTTATTGCTACTCGCATCTTTGCGAACAAATTCCAGAAAGAATGAATCTAAAATTCGAAACTTCAAATCTGACAACTAATATTTTTTGCCAAAAAAAATCGAAAAAAGGCGCCACTGAGTTTTGAAATTTGAAACTCGAAACTTCAAATCTGACAGCTAATATTTTTATACAACTTAATAAACCAAATTATTCAAGTTCAGGTTTACCAACTCTCTCAATCAATTTTGATGACTCTGTATATCAATTTCCGATTCCACCTCTCTATAGTTTTGAAGCATTTGATAAACCGGAGACGATTTCAATATGTTTGTTCTTGGGACAGGCATATGCAACAAAGAATATGATCTTAAACCTGGTTTTAGCACACGTAGCTTTAGGATCTTAAGAAGATCTTCACATTTGATATGATAATTTAATATATTATGTAGCATTAAGATAGAAGCTGCTTTTCGCCTGCAGACCAAACTCTGATAGCCAAATCTACGTAACAGTATATCATTTGGAATTCCTCTTGTAGGGTAAACACCATCACAGATATAAGACAAGAATTTTAAGAATCGACGCTGCGTTTTTTCCAACAGAGAAATGTAGGTTTGATAAAAAGGGCTCCATACCACCGACGCATACTCCAAGACGGATCTGACGTATGATAAAAAGAGAAGCCTTAGAACATCAAGGTCTTTAAATTCCGCTGCGTTGCGAACAACAAACCCTAATGATTTATGCGCCGATGTCGAGATAACCTCATAGTGTTTGTGGAAACTTAATTCAGCATCATATGTGACACCCAAGTCACATACATAATCAGGGCGTTGCAGGACTCTTTGATCCAAGACGTAGTTGTATATAACATTTGAAAGTTTAATCGAATATGACTTGACGATGCATTTATCGGCGTTTAACAGCAAATTGTTTTTTTTCGACCATAGCAACACACGATTCAAGTTGTCTTGCAGACGAATACAATCCAAAGATGACTGTACGCGAAAAAAGATTTTTATATCATCTGCATAAAGCAAAGAAGGAACGTCCAAAACTTCTACAATGTCATTGATATACATTATAAACAACAATGGTCCCAAGACTGAGCCCTGCGGTACACCAGATGTTTGTGGAAACTGACGTGAGGAGCAACTGGTACAAAATACATACTGATATCTGTTGCTTAGATAAGATTTAAAGACACTAAGCAAACCGTCGGAAAAGCCAAAACTCTCCAGTTTATGCAGTAGAATACGATGATCAATGCGATCAAAAGCCTTGCTAAAATCCAAATAAATGCAATCAACTTGAAGATGTTTGTCAAACATTTCTGAGATATATTGCGTCTTGATCATCAAATTCGTGACAGTCGACCTTCCTTTAATGAAACCATGCTGCATCGGTGACAAGTGCTGCGAAACATGGGAAAAGATACGAGCATGCATTACAAATTCAAACACTTTAGCAAAGTTGTTGATCAAAGCAATTGGCCTATATTCACTGATTTCCGCAGTGCTTCCTTTTTTATGAATAGGCAAAATCCTAGATAACTTCCATTTGTCAGGAAATTTTGAATTACTCAAAATCAAGTTGAATATAACTGTTAGTGGAGAAGCTAAAATTATGCCACAGTCTTTCACAAAAAATGACGGAATCTCATCGGGCCCAGCGGTTAACGTCGGCTTTAGTTTCTTGATGGCTGTAAGCACTTCAGACTCGTTAATTTTTCTAACATCAAATATATTTTGATTTAACGCACTCACAAGATCACTATCAACGGACGTATTCGATGAGGTGCTACTAACAGGATGAAAAGACCTGGCAAAAAAATGCGCAAACGCATCAGCAATGTGTTGAGGGTTGGAAAGTTCGTTACCCTTGTAAAACATATTAGCTGGAATACATGCATGATTCGATTTATTTTTAATAAACGTCCAAAACTTTTTTGGATCTCTCTTAATATCAGAAGTGATATTTTGCAAATATTCTTTGTAGGAAGTCCGAATCAAGAGTTTTACAGTAGCGCGTATGCTTTTTAAGGCATTATAGGATTCCGTTGTTTTATTTCGTTTATATTTTTGCCACGCTTTCTCCTTCATTTTTAAGTTAGAAATAATTTGTCCATTATACCAAGGAGGATAAGCTCTTGAAGGTTTTCTCTTAATAGGTACAAATGAAGAAAATAAGGGTTCTAATTTTTTATACAAGTTATGAACAACCTTGTTTACGTCAACACACGCGTCAAGGAAAGAGAAGTCAGTATTCAACATAGATTCATACAATGAGGAAAGATTAGCTTTCCTGAAATTACGGGATCCACCACAAATCCCACAAGGGTTGCCACTTTTACTAGTTTTTAAGGAGGACAAATCGACACACAACGCTGGCTGATATGAATCCTCAGTGCTTAAAAGTTCAACAGGCTTAGAAACAAAACAATGAAAATTAGAAAACACAAGGTCAAGGAGACGATTATCACGATTTAGGATACCATTCCATTGCGTAAGATTAAAAAATTCCGCAAAGTTAATGCAGGCATTGATAGCGTTATTTGATGGACCTCCCATCTTGGAGAAACTATAGAACTGGAAGATATTTATATCGCCTATAACAATTAAGTTAGCGCTGAATAATTGGTTAATGTTAAAAGTTCAACAGGCTTAGAAACAAAACAATGAAAATTAGAAAACACAAGGTCAAGGAGACGATTATCACGATTTAGGATACCATTCCATTGCGTAAGATTAAAAAATTCCGCAAAGTTAATGCAGGCATTGATAGCGTTATTTGATGGACCTCCCATCTTGGAGAAACTATAGAACTGGAAGATATTTATATCGCCTATAACAATTAAGTTAGCGCTGAATAATTGGTTAATGGAAGATAGACATTCAAAAAGACGAGCATAATCATCAACTACGGCAGAAGGAGGTATATACAAGACAATTACAAATACCGATTTATACACTAGTCTAATCCTAGCAATTAAAATGCCAATATGCCTGATCTCATCAAAGCCAGAATTAAGCTAGTAAGGATCAATAGTTTCAATTAGAAGATGCTTTTTAGCAGCAATCAGTACTCCACCACCTCGACTAGTGTCAGTTGCCGCAAGATCACGATCCTTACGATAGACATTAAAAATATTCGGTTCAAATAATTCATTATTAGACACATCATTTTTTAGCCAGGTCTCCGTGAGGATCAAGATGTCATACTGCGTCATGGTCATAGAGTTCAAATGTATATCAGCAAATTTATTATTCACACTTCGAATATTTTGATAATAAAGTCGCAAAGTATCAGACGCACTATGTTGAGAGTAGTTATGACTGCCTAAAGAGGTGTCAGAGGACTCTGAATCCAAGAACAACCTAGCTAATGAAACTGAATGAGTTAGTTGCTATTTAGTATGAGGGAAAACTTGTATTGAACATGAATCAGCAAATAAATTCTTTTTGAAACTGTTCACAGCCGCTTTATATGATTCACACAAATTAAGGTATATTCCTGTAGCGGCACAATAACACATGGGTAAGCAGAGCAAAGATAAGTTGTCTTGTGGTGTAGCGGTCAGCATACCAGCCCGGAATGCTTGGAGACGTGGGTTCGAATCCCACCGAGGCACAACATTTTTCTCTGCTTACCTATATTGGTGACCTCCGACAGGCAACGCGCACGCAACATCCTTCTGCCACCGCCCTGTGCCCGCTGTGTTCGGGGTCCGCAGCACCGCCAGGGTTCGAACAACGACCGTAAGAGTGGTAGGGGCGACGCCAGCATCTATCTCCTTCGCACCCCAGCACGACCGCGCGCTGTGTCGCTAGGGGGGGGGAGTACTGTAGCGGCACAATAACACATGGGTAAGCAGAGCAAAGATAAGTTGTCTTGTGGTGTAGCGGTCAGCATACCAGCCCGGAATGCTTGGAGACGTGGGTTCGAATCCCACCGAGGCACAACATTTTTCTCTGCTTACCTATATTCCCATGCTGCATGATTTAAATTTAGATTCTCCGGCCGATTACGTATAGTTTTACAATTAATGCAGCATTTTTTGTTCTCTGTCTCTGAATCAACATTCGAAAAAGGGCAGTCTTTAACTTTGTGCTTTTCAGCACACAAAGGACAACTAACTTCATTTTTACAATGTGCGCTTTTGTGAAAAAAACTGTTGCAATTAAAACAGCGAGGTACAGTTACAGAATCATAGACTGAACAAGGATTGAGACCAATGAGAATATGACTAGATTTTAACAATAAATTATATGTCACTACATCTACTTCAACATCAGCTTGAAAGAGATTATTATTTGAACGTATTGGCCAATATCGAATTAATTTCCAGAAGGATGACTGCTGAATCAAATCTGGATTTTGCTTTTTTAAATAAGATGGTAATAAGTCCTGAGAAATATCTTTGAAAAAACCTACAATTCTAATTTTCGGACGTAAAGGATCAACTTCTTTTATGTGATAATTACCTGAAAGATTATATGTACTCAATTTGTATATATATGTATGTACTCAATTTGACCTAAAGAGTAAAGACACGCTTAAATTAAACCGGGTACTGTTCGGCTCTACAATTTTGAAAATGTCTGAAATTTGAAAATTATGTACAAAAATGTAACCTCTTTCGATTCCCACCATTACTCTTCCATTTCAAGTTCTTACAAAAATTAAAAAAAATTCTCAAAGCTTAGGTAGTACAGTTACCTTATTTTTTCGATTAATTTCTGTTCCTTAGAAATTACGTTCGCTTTTTACGTGGGAAGCCGTCCGTAAGCATGATGAATTCTTAAACAAAAGTGGTCTGTCTATTCCTTCCCAAAACTTGTTGACGCCATCTCACCACTATTTTGCTGAGCATATCCTATCTAAAATGCACAAAATATAATATAATGACTCTACACCTGTGTTTTGTCAGTGCATTAACATTTTTTAGAATTGCTTATACAGGTACTTAAAAAGTTAATGAACAAAGCAATTTATTTTATTGATTAAATCAAGAACGGCCATCTGTAACGTTTGTATCATATTTGCTCAAATCACCATCGTTAAGGCTCCACCACACCTCAAGAAAATTTCTATTTTAAAAGATATGCAACTTGTAAAACACCCATGCTACCTCGTTATGACAGCTGCCACTCATCTCTAAGGGTTAAAATCGTTCACTTCGTTTACAATAACTAGTTTTATTACTGCTATTGTCAGCGGGGGAAGTGTATCCCGGCTTGCAGGTAGAGCAGAGTAAGGAACTAAAATATTTATCTACTATGAAAGAAAACAAACAATATTTCTTAGCTTACGTTCGAGAAGTAAAAACGCAAAAACACGTCTACTGGTATATAAAAATTGCCACTTTGTAATATTAGTTTCAAAAGTTTTGAGCGACATTTGACAGGTGTATGACGTCATCGATAATTTTTTAAATAGCACCTCCTACTTTTTTTAGCATAAAGTCCCTTGAAAGAGAATTTTTGATATGCGGTTTAACCTAATTTACTGTGATAAGAAATGAAAAAAGCCAAATGTGTGTTTTAAAATAAATTAATATAATCATTGCCAGAGACTGTTGAGATCTTTACTCGCAATACATACAACAAAGAAATGCTTGTTCATATATATAATTCCGACCATAATTCTTACTCTTATTTTTAAATTCCTGTTTCCATAAAAATTCGTACGCATTGGGCATATTCTGTAAGTAGGTAGAAAAGTAAAATTAAATTTCCAAGAATATTTTATTGAAGGTACGAAGGTACGTTATTGTGAGTATTTCTTAGTAATCTTGGAAATTTTCAACCCAAAATCTTAGAAATTTAGGTAGGTACATACCTAGTTACCTCTCGGAATGTATTTTGAATGAAGCAAATTGGTCGAAGGTTATTTCGACAAAACTTCTCTCGCCTCTGAAATACAATAAAACAAATCAATTAGTCATAATACATATGTTGGGCTGTACTTTAGATAATATTGAAATAACTCACGAAAATTGTTATGGTTTAAAAAGTGTTTTCTACTACAAATGTAATATGTACGGAATATTCGGTAATTTTTGTACAGAACCTGAAAATCATATATACAAAGTCAATTATGCAGCTATTTGTGGAGTTAGATCAACGGGCGTGGGTTATTCTCAAATTTCAGAATTTTGTTCAGCTCTAGATATCCCTCAAATACCCCAGACGACATATCGTAAAGCCGAGGTTAGAGTTCTAAAGAGCATCGAAGCACTTTTCGAAGAACAAATCAAAACGCAGGTAAAGAAGAGTACCGATTAGCTGTGAAGGCGAGGGAGGTAGATAATGATTGCGTCCCATATATTACCGTTATTGTCGATGGAGCTTGGAACAAATGCTCTTACAAATCCAATTACAATGCACTGTCTGGGGTAGGACGCATAATTGGTGCCAGAACTAAAAAAATACTTTATGTTGGAGTCAAAAACAAACTTTGTAGTTTCTTTAAAATCTGTATGAAACAGAAAAAAGAAACTCCAACACATAACTGTTTTAAAAACTGGGAGCAAACATCTATGTCCATGGAAGTTTCAATTATCTTAGAGGGATTTACTTTAGATACTTTATAGGAGAATTATAGGCGACGAGGATAGTAGCGTATTAAAAAAAGTTCGGGCTGCAAAACCATATGGTGCATATTATTTTATAGAAAAAATTGAATGTAGAAATCACATACTTTAGAACAGCTACTTATTATAAGTGCTATTAAATTTAGCAAAAATAAGCCTCTTCCTTTTTTTCCAGCATATATTTGGCAATCACGAACAATGTGCAAGTTATTTTTGTTATAAAAGTGGACAGTCAAATGATATTTTATTTTCTACATATAAAAATCATAGACACACAAACTTTCTGTAAAATTTTAGTTATAACCCGTTATTCTTGTACTTCTTACAAATAATTACAAAAAGCCACTGGAAAAACGCTTTGGCCAACACCAGTAAAATAAACTGTGATTGGATTATATTATTATTATTATTAATATTATTATGGATCATGGATCCAAAGAATGAAAAAGGCAGTGAGTGATTTATTTTACTAACGCATTTGTTACGTATTAACATCTATATTAATAAAAATGAATCGCCGAAATGTATGTACGCTCATAACTTCAGAACGACTGCACCGAATTGGACGATTCTTTTTTTTACGTGTTCCTTATTGTCAGGACAAGGTTTATATGTAACAAAATTTATAAAAAATAAGACGGCTAAAAGATTAAAAAAAAATAAAAATTTTGCATGGGAATCGCCACTTCGAATGAATTTGAATAGTTGGTGTTTCTGACGGACCTGTCGCCTAACTGACGTGTCATACAAAACTATTTCTTCCGTGCGATTGTGAAAAGTATTATTGCATTTCAAGTCGTTGTTTGTTTTTTCGTAACAAGAAACGTCGTTTATTTTAAGAAAAGTGTTCGTTAAAGTGAATTACGCATTGCTAAAGTTTCTTATTAATTTTGATCTGCCATTCTATTTACGTATATTCACTTTGTTGGTTTCGACAAAACCTCAAACTTTACCGTTATTCGAGGATTTAATTTGAAATTTTCAATATTTTAAAATTCTCAAGACAAAATTTACAGATTTGATTGACGGTGAAAATAATTCTGTGTCGTTTTATGCCGACAAGACGACAAGCTGACATACGTCCACGAAGTCAATCAAATGTGCGACGAACTACCTCAGGTGCAAATCGCAATGATTTATTTCATGGGTAATTCGGATACGGAAGTTGATCAGCGTTGTGCTCATAATCAACATAATAGTAAAACATTGAAGCGAGACATTGGGTGGTATGAATAAAACTGAGTAGATACTCATATTCGAAGTACGAAGTACCTACTTGCAAACATTGTATCTCCCCGGACACAAATTGAACATCTACGCGTTTTGTGAGCATTTAATCTAAAAATGAGCATCGGTGTGGCAAATGACTATTTGTCCTTATAAATAATAAATTAAATGTAATATATTTTTGTTTCCTTAAGAATACAAAGTTAACAAAGTTAGTTGAGTTACAAAAGTCTCTTTTGCTCCACGTTGGCCACCAACGAGCGATTTTCAAGATTTTTGTGAAACTTTGCTGGTTTTGAATTTGAATTTTCTGTCCTCGATAGTTGATGCTCAGCAAGAACCACGGGAAGGTCTGGAGCAGATCTCGCTAGGAAAGGAGAGGGCTAGGATTTGTTAATGAGGGATAGAACGTTATACAGTACAATACAATGGAAATACAATACAGGTACCTACAATCTAACTACAATACAGAATACACTACAGAAACAGATACAATTCAGATACAATACAAATGCAAAGTTAGTAGCCAATACACCACCGGAAGAAATTGCACCAAAAATTGAGAATGTTGCAAAATGAAAACCCAAGCAAGCACACCCATGGAACTCGGAACGAAATCTATTGGTCGCAGCGCTCACACGCCCAAGGGAGAATGCAGCCGCATAAATCCAAGGCCGACTGACCTCATCCTTATAGGAGATGCGACCCAGCGTCAAAGGGCCAACAGAATCCCCCAGGCCAAAGCGTCTGACGACATGGAGAATTCAGACTCTGAACCAAAGAATGCACTGTTGCAAAATTAAAACCCAAGCAAATGCACCATGAAAACAAAGCATTTGCACCACTGGAGCTAAATTGGCAAGACCCAAATTAAGTTAGTAACACATACAATATACAGTACAAAATGCTTCAATTACAAAAGTTACAATATACAAATTTCTCCACGTTTGCCACCAAAGAGCGATGACTTTGCTCGCTCGTTGCTGTTGCCCAGCAAGAACCAAACAATACGAGGAGGTCTGGAGTGCGTCTTGCCATTAAAAGAGAGGACTAAGGTTTGATAGCATGGGTGAAGGACACCGTATTTTGTAAATTTGGACGCCGTACTTTAAAAATGATGAATACGGTATTTTGTGAATTATGAACGCAGTACTTTGTATATTCTAAAGGCGTACTTTATAAAAAATGGGCATTTTTGGAAAAATATCCATTTTCCTTTGTGTTCACAGCACTTAACACAAAACATTTTCGCTAATATTTATTAACAATAAATTAGAAATTCGCGAACACGTGCTACTTTTAACCCAAAACGAAGCTCCAATGTTGCTGCTACCAGACCGGAATCAAAACTGAACAGAAAGGATCGAAAATGTGACCTTTTATCAGGTAGCTCACGCGACAGTTACATCATCGTACGTCACGATGAGATTGCAAAAATTATTTTTCATATTTTAGATCAGAAATTGTACATTTTCGGGGTTAATTTAACAACGTTTAAACAAACTAATTTGTTTTTACTAACCTCGTGTTCTTAGGAAAACGGATTTCGGTTTAATTATCATATATTTATAGTTATCATATTTGAACATTATGAATTGTATTAATTATGTTTAAATTTTATTTAATCATATCGCGAAAATGGATAGCTTTGACCCACCAACTTCAATCGTTTCGAAAATTTATCCAAAATGTAAACATTGTCGACCAAACGAATCACGGAATCCGATAAATTAAAACTGAAGTCGTACTTACCCTGTTTTCGGTCCTTTTCGGAAAAATATCCATTTTCGTTCGTGTTCACAGCACTAACACAACATATTTTCCGTAATATGTATTAATAATAAACTAGAAATTCGCTAAAACGCTCCACTTTTACGCCGAAATGAAGTGACGATCTTGCCGCCGTCAAACAGAAATTAAAACTGAACACAAAGGACCGAAACACGTGACCTTTATACAAGTAGCTCAGGTGACATTGACGTCATCGTACGTCACGATGAGATTGCAAAATTTATTTTTTATATTTTGGCCAGGAAAATGCACATTTTCGGGGATAATTTAACATTGTTTAAACAAATTGATTTGTTTTTAATAATTTCGGGCTTGTAGGACAACGGGTTTTGGTTTAATTATCATACATTGATGCTTATCATATTTAAACATTATAAATGATATTAATTATGTTTAAAATTTATTTATTTATGTCGTGAAAATGTATAGCTTTGATCAACCGATTTCAATCGTTTCGAAAATTTTCCCAAAATTTAAATATTGTCGAGTGAACGAATCACGGAATCCGATAAATTAAAACTGAACTCGAACTTACCCTGTTTTCGACCCTTTTCGAAAAAATATCCATTTTCGTTCCTGTTCACAGTACTAATACAACACATTTTCACTAATATTTAAATATATAAATTAGAAATTCGTGAAAAGAGCCCTACTTTTAAGCCAAAACGGACTCTGATGTTACTGCCACCAAACCGAAATCAAAACTAAACGCAGAGGACCGAAAAATGTGACCTTTTATCAGGTGGCTCACGTGATAGTGGCGTCATCGTACGTCACGATGAGATTGCAAAAATTATTTTTCATATTTTCGTTCAGAAATTGTACATGTTCGGGGTTAATTTAACAATGTTTAAACAAACTAATTTGTTTTTGCTAACCTGGTGTTCTTAGGAAAATGGTTTTCGGTTTAATTATCACATATTAATAGTTATCATATTTAAACATTATGAATTATATTAATTATTTCATTTCTGCAACTCTTGAGTTATTTTCTAAAATAAATTGACTGATCCATACATTTTTTTGTCACTGTAAAAGCAAATCTAAAAAATATGAATGCAATGATAAATTTACGAAAATATACTGAT